CGACCCCGACGCCGTGGAGGAGTCTTTGATCGGCCCGTCGGAGTCTGTGGGGAGTTTTGGCCGCGAGGCGAAGGCGCGTCGCGCGGCGGAGCGTCGCTTGCGCGCGCGGGATCGATCCCGGGATCGATCCCGGGGATCGATCCCGCACCCCGGGATCGCCTGGGATCGTCTCCTCCGTCCGCCCCACACCCCACACTTTTTCCCTTTTTTTCCTTCTGGGGGGGGGAATTGCGCCAGCTTTGCGGGGCTTTTGGGGGCGCTTTTTGCGGCCTTTCGGGCCGCTTTTCGCAGCTTTTGGGGGCTCTTTTTGGATACTTTGTTGCCTCTTTTCGGCGTTTTGGCTGCCTCTTTCTGGCTCTTTGCTTGCTCTTCTTTGCCTCTCTTTGTGGCCTCTTTTGGAAGCTTTGTTTGCCTTTTCTTGGTTCTTTTTCCGCCTTTTTTTGCTCCCTTTTTGCCCCCTTTTGCCTCTTTTTGTTGCCTCTTTTGGGCTCTTTAGTTGCCTTCTTTTGGCTCTTTTTCGGACATTTGTTTGCCTCTTTTGGGCTCTTTTTGGCTCTTTATTTGCCTCTTTTTTGGGTTTTTTGATCTTTATTTGCCTCTTCTTGACTTCCTCTTTTTTCTCGTTTGTCTCTTTATTTGGTGTTTTTGGCTCCCTTCATTTACTCCCTTTTCTCTCTTTAATTGTCCCCTTATTTGTCTATTTCTTTTATTACTTTCCTCATTTGTTCTTAATCCGTCTCCTTATTTCCCCTTTTATCATTTTAAATCCCTTTTTAATCCAAACATTTTAATCTCCCTTTTGTTTCCTTTTTCTCTTTCTTTGCCTCCCTTCTCCCCCTTCACACTTCTTCAAATAAATAAACAAATTAATTAATCATTACTCATTTATTTATTTATTTATTTGTTTGTTTGTTTATTCAGAAGACGACGAAGAAGAAGCAGCAGAAATGGAGCGGCTGCTGCAGCGGGTGCAGCAGCGGCGGCGGCACTTGGCAGCAGCAGCAGCACAAGGCGAAGCTGTGAACCTCAGGGACCTGCAGCAGGCCAAAGCAAGTTTATTTATTTATTTATTTATTTATTTATTTTATTTATTTATTTAGTTATTTATTTGTTTGTTTTATTTATTTGTTTGATTGTTTATTATTTATTTGTTGTTATTTATTATTTGTTTATTTATTAGTTTATTATTTAGTTAGTTGTTTATTTGTTTTCTTTGTTTGATTTTTTGATTGTTTGATTTTTTGATTGTTTGATTGTTTATTTATTTATTATTTCCCCTTTTGGCTCTTTTCTCTTTCTTTTTATTTTGTCTCTTTTTTCGTCTTTTTTATGTCATTTTTAATACCATTTTAATCTCTTTTTGTCTCTTTTTTGTCTCGTTTTCGTCTGTTTTTTATTTCCTTTTAATCTCTTTTTTATTTCTGTTTAATCTTTTTTTCATTTATTTTTAAGTCTCCTTTTTTTCCTGTATTTGAATGGCTTTTTTGTTTCCTTTTTGTCTGTTTTTGTCTTTTATTTTTTTCCTTTTTTTTGTCTTTTTCCTATTTCTTTAATATACTAATTCAATTTAATTGAATTCAATTCAGTTTTAGTTAATATAATTTAATTAATTTATTTAAATTTATTTTATTATTTATTTTATATTTATTTTTATTTCTATTTTATTTATTTTATTTTTTAGAATCTTCTGGCTGACTCAAATCCCCGTCTTGTCGCCTTCGGCGCGGAGCACCAGCAAGCGGTGGACACTTTATTTCGGTTTGTCCCCTTTTTAGGGTTTAGGGTTTAGGGTTTGGGGTTTTGCGCTTTGGGGTTTAGGGTTGAGGGTTTAGAGTTTAAGGTTTAGGGCTGAGGGTTTCGAGTATAGGTTTTGGGATTTAGGGTTTGGAGTTTAGGGTTTGGGGTCTCGGGTTTAGGGTTTAGGGTTTGTTTCGATTCATTACGTGTCTTGTCTTCATTGCTTTTGCTGTTACAACTCCTGCTGCTGCTGCTGCTGCTGCTGCAGTTACTTCCTTTACCATTTCTCGCTTTCCGCCTACAACAGCCAAAGCGTGGTCGCCCACGAAGAAGGCGAGCAGCAGCAGCAGCAGCAGCAGCAGCAGCAGCAGGAAGACGCAGGGAACCCTTACTATTTGGAGAAGATTCAGCAGCTCATTTTAGGTTTGTTAACAGCACTTTCTTTTTTGGAATTCTCTTTCATCTTTTTATTATTTCTTTTTAAATTTATTTCTTTTTGTTTTTTATTTCGTTTCTTTTGCATTTTTATTTACTTTTATTTCTTCGGTTTTAGGCTGCTTTGCTGCTGCTGCTGCTGCTGCTGCGGCCTTTGCCCCTGCCTTGCTGCCTTTTTTGGCGTGTCTTGGTCGGTTTGCTGTCCGCTTTTGCTCTTGCTGCTGCTGCTGCTGCTGCTCTCTTGTACCTTTTTTTCCTAATTTGCGTCTCCTTCTGGGCCATTTGCTTGCTGCTGCTGCTGCTGCTGCTGCTGTGCTGCAGCTGACAAGCAAAGCCTCGCTGTCGACGTGCGGCATCTTCTCTTCGTTTCTGAGCAGCTCGTCAGGTGGATTGAGCTGCACCCCACGCCAGCAATACAGGTAGCTGCAGCAGCAGCAGCAGCAGCAGCAGCAGCAGGGGGGGGGCAGCGGGGGGGAGGGCAGAAGAAGCAACAGCAGCTGCAGCGGCAGCGGCGGCAGCGCGCCGCTGCAGGCACTTCCCCGTCCAGTTGCTGAGCCCCCCGCTTCTGCGCCTGCTGCTGCTGCTGCTGCTGCTGCTGCTGCTGCTGCTGCTGCAGCGGGGTGATAACGCGGCGGTCTGCTGTGCTGCCGCGCATGCGATTAATTTATTTGAAATGTTCTCTTTGTCTTTCGAGTGTCTCCGACGCCCCCGTCCAAGTCCTCGAGGGTCAAAAGAAAATCAACCTCCCGAAACGGTCAAACCCTAAACCCTAAACCCTAAACCCTGGGCTCCGACAGCCTCCACGCCCTAAACCCTACACCCTGGGCGCCGATAGCCTCCAGCCCCTAAGCCCTAAACCCTAGGCGCTGATAGCCTCCACGCCCTAAACCCTAAACCCTAAAACGCTCGCACGCCCTGCAAACCCTAAACCCTCACACTCCCCCAAACCCTAAACCCTAGAACGCAGCGCGAAGGAAACCCTCAGCAGCAGAAGGACGCGAGCCCTTTGTGTCTTTTTTTCTGCTTTTTCTTATTCTCTTTTGAATTCTTTTTCTTTTTATTCTTTATTTCTTTTTTATTTTTGTTTTTAATTTTAAATAAACTCCAACTTGCTGCTGCTTCGGGTGTACGTACAGCTGCCCCAACTGCCAAGGCTCTCGTTTTACAGTCGACAGAATCCGCACCACTTACACCGACGTCCAGCGCCTCACGCTCCAGGTTTGCTGCTGCTGCTGCTGCTGCTGCTGATGTTGGTGCTGCTGCTGCTGATCTGGGTGCTACTGCTGCTGATCGTGCGGGTGCTGCTGCTGCTGATGTTGGTGCTGCTGCTGCTGATCTGGGTGCTACAGCTGCTGATCGTGCGGGTGCTGCTGCTGCTGCTGCTGATCGTGCGGGTGCTGCTGCTGCTGATGTTGGTGCTGCTGCTGCTGATCGTGCGGGTGCTGCTGCTGCTGATCGTGCGGGTGCTGATGTTGCTGCTGATCGTGCGGGTGCTGCTGCTGCTGATCGTGCGGGTGCTGATGTTGCTGCTGATTGTGCGGGTGCTGCTACTGGTCGTGCTGCTGGTGCTGCTGCTTTTGCTGCTGATCGTGTGACTGCTGCTGCTGCTGCCCTTGCTGTTGCTGCTGCCGCTCTAGCTGCTGCCACTGCCATTATTGCTGCTGCTGCTGCTGCATCTGCATAAGCGCAAGCCCGCGCACCTCATTCTGCCGCTGCTTCGCCCCCTCCCCCACGCCCCCGCCGCTGCTGCTGCTGCTGCTGCTGCTGCTGCTGCTGCAGGAGTCTCCTTCGCAGTGTCCCCCGGGGCGGGCCCCGCGGCAGCGGGAGCTGCTGGTCTGTGGGGAGTTGGTGGATGCAGCAAAACCTGGAGAGAGTGTGGAGGTTTTGGGGGTTTACAGAATGAAGTTGGACGTGAGTTTAAACGCTAAATTAGGGTTTCCGGTGGTGGGGACGGAGATTTGCTGCAACAGCTTGCGGAGAACAAAAGAAGAAATGGTGAAGGAGCTTTCCGAGGAGGACTTGCATGCAATCCGCGAGCTGTCTAGACACCCCAACATTCGAGAAAGAATTATTAATTCCATTTGTCCAACTCTTTCTTCTTCAAAACAAATCAAAACTGCAATTGCTTATTCCCTCTTTGGGGGAGTTCCCAAGGGGCGCGAGGCTGCTGCTGCTGCTGCCCACGCTGCCGATGCTGCTGCTGCTGCTGCTGCTGCTGCTGCTGCAGCAGCAGGGGAAGACCCCAAGGAAACTGCGGGGCAGCATGTCATTCGCGGAGACATTAATGTGCTGCTCCTCGGTAAATCCAAAACTGTTTCTTTTTTATTTTCGTTTCTTTTTTATTCTTTTTATTTTATTTCTTTTTAATTCTTCTAAGTTCTTTCAATTCTATTGTTTCCTTTTAATTTCTTTTTTATTTCCTTTTAGTTTCTTTTCAATTTGTTTTCAATTTGTTTTCATTCCTTTTATTTCTTTTTTTCCTGTCACCAGTTTCTACTTTTTTGCTTTTTTAATTTTTTTGTTCCCTTTTTTCTTTCTTGTCTTTTTCTTTTCCTTTAGATTTCTTTTTGCTCTTCTCATTTCATTTTATTTCTTCTAAATCCCTTTTTGTCCTTATCTTTTTTAATTTCTTTTATCTTTTTAATTTTTTTCCTCTTTTTTGATCCCCCGTTACCCTCTCAAGCCCCCTTTTATTCTGAATGGATAAACTAATTAATTATACTTATCTATTTATTTCTTTATTTTTTAATTTATTTATTCATTTATTTATAAAATTAATGGTATCTCTTTATTTCCTTTCCCGCTTTAAAGCCTTTCTGTTTTATTGTTCTCTATTTTCCCGTTTTTGGCCCCATTTGGTTCATTTCAAACCCTCATTAAACCCTTTTTTGGGGTTTTTTCAAACCCTTTCAAACCCTTCGTAAACCATTTTAAAGCCTTTTCGAGCCCTTTTTAAACCGGTTTTTTGGGGTTTTTCAAGACCTTTTAAGCCCTTTTTGGACCCTTTTTTGCGCCCTTTTAACGCCCGTTTAAGCCCTTGCTAAACCCTCTAAAACCCTTTAAACCTCCAAACCCTCAAACTCTAATTTGGTGTTTTTCAATTCAGGAGACCCCGGACTCGGAAAGTCCCAAGCCCTCCAATACGTCGCCCGCACTTTCCCCCGCAGCGTCTCCACCACGGGCAAAGGCGCTTCGGCCTGCGGGCTCACTGCGGGGGTTAGAAGGTAGGGTTTAGGGTTTAGGGTTTAGGGTTTAGGGTTTAGGAGGGAGGGGAGAGGGAGGTAGAAAAGAGAGCTTTTTGCGGGTGGGTGGTGGTGGGTAGGGGCGCTTCCGCCTGCGGGCTCACTGCGGGCGGTAGGAGGTAGGGTTTGGGGTTTAGGGTTTAGGGTGTAGGGTTTAGGGTTTAGGGTTCTGAAATGTTCGCTTTCTTGCGCCTCTTTGGCGAACTAGAAGCTGCACTTGTGGATATAAATACAGGTGCAAATATAGTTAAAATAGAATTATTAATTCCAAAAATAAAATAAAATAAAATAAAATAATTATAATTGCAAATAGAAACACAAATAAACAAACATATACAAATATGAACACCCAAGTAGAAACCTAAAATACCATCTGCGGCAGCAAAAAGCTGCTAATTCCCCGAAATCAATAAAAGCAGCAGCAGCAGCAGCTGCTGCTGCTGCTGCTGCAGTTCCCAATCTACCAGCCCCTCTACTGAGCGCCTATCGAATTCCCCCAAGAACCCACCCCACCCCACCGCGCTGCTGCTGCCGCCGCCGCTGCTGCTGCTGCTGCTGCTGCTGCTGCAGGGACCCGTACTCCGGGGAGTGGAGCCTGGAGGGGGGGGCTTTGGTGCTGGCGGACGAGGGGATTTGTTTGATTGATGAGTTTGACAAAATGACGGAAAAAGATCGGGTGTCTATACACGAGGCCATGGAGCAGCAAAGCATCTCCATCAGCAAAGCCGGAATCGTCACAACTCTCCGAGCCAGATGCGCCGTTGTTGCTGCTGCCAACCCCAAATTCGGTGAGCTCCTGCTGCTGCTGCTGCTGCTGCTGCTGCTGCTGCTGGGGAGGGGGGCTGCTGCTGGGGTGCGGGGGGGGGGCTGCTGCTGCTGCTGCTGCTGTTGCTGCTGCTGGGGTGGGGGGAGGGTGATATTGCGGCGCTGCTGCTGCTGCTGATGCTGCTGCTGCTGCTGCTGGGGTTAGGAGACGGGTAGGGGGAGGGTGTTGCTGCTGCTGTGCTGCTGCTGCTGCTGATGCTGCTGCTGTGGTGTTTGCACGATCAACTAGTGAACGGCGGAGTGCTTGAATTCACATATTTGAAATAAATGGCATAATATTAACTAAATTTAAATTAATTATAATTATCGTTTATTTATTTATTTATTTATTTATTCAGGCCGCTACATCCCCTCGTACACCTTCAAAGAAAATGTGGACCTCAGCGATCCAATTTTGTCGCGCTTTGACCTCATTTGTGTCTTGAGAGATATTGTAATTTATTCGTTTAAGTTAATTAATTTAATTTAATTTAATTAATTTAATTTAATTTAATTTAATTAATTTAATTAATTTAATTATTTTATTTTATTTTATTTTATTGCATTTAGTTGCTTCTGTTTCTCGTCTTTTGGCCTTCTTGCCTCGTTGGTTCTTTCCCTCGTTGTGCCCATGCTGCTGCTGCTGCTGCAGACTCTTGCTGCTGCTGCTCCTGCTGCTGGTTTCTCCTGCTGCTTCTGATGCCACTGCCCCTTGCTGCTGCTGCTGCTGCTGTTTTCTCCTGATGCTTCTGATGCCTCTGCCCCTTGCTGCTGCTGCTGCTGCTGCTGCTGCAGCCTGACGCGGACGAGGACTTTGCGCTGGCCCAGTATGTGCTGAGCAACCACCAGCTGCATCACCCCACAGTCTCTTTGCTGCAGCAGCTGCCGCAGCAGCAAATGGAACGCCTGGAGACACAAATGAAGGCCCTGGAGGCCCACGAGCCCATTGACCAGGAGCTGCTTCAAAAATATATTCTCTACGCAAGGTCTGCTGCTGCTGCTGCTGCTGTCTCTGGTCCTGCTGCTGCTGCTGCCGTTGCTGCTGGTGCTTCTGCTGCTGCTGCTGCTGTTTCCGCTGCAGCAGCTGCCGATCTGCCACCAGTGTTAGCAGCAAGGAAAGGCAGCTGATGACTTTATTACAAACTGCTCAAACAAACGTCCCCCTCTGCTGCTGCTGCTGCTGCTGCTGCTGCAGGGCCTACTGCCACCCCACATTTGACTGCTCCCTTCCCGCCCTCAGCAGCAAACTCTCTTCTTTCTACGCGAAGCTGCGGCGCCGTGCTGCAGCTTCGGGGGGTCTTCCCTTGACTTTGAGGTAATAAACCCTAAACCCTGAAAAAGGGTTTGACGGATAGCGGCTAGGGTTTGGGACTGTGGGTGATAGGGGCTAGCACGTGAGGATGCACCAACTGAGGCAACTCTGTAGCCCTGAAACTCGTTTTTAGGGTTTAGGGTTTAGGGTTTGAGGGGGCGCGAGCTTAGCAAACCACGTTTTAGAGTTTAGGCTTTAGGGCTTGAGGAAGCAATAACTAGTTGAAGCATTCTTCAAGGTTTCTTCTTGTCTCTGAGGTGGCCGCTCTTGGACTGAACCCTATTTTAGGGTTTAGGGTTAAGCCTCTATCTGTTGACCTCTCCTCATTTGCTGCTGCGGCATCTCCTTTTAATTCATGCTGCTCCCTGCACACTCCCTTCTGTTGCCTTGTGCTGCTACCGTTGCTGCTGCTGCCGCTGCTGCTGCTGCTGCTTCCGCTGCTGCTGCTACCGCTGCTGCTGCTACCGCTGCTGCTGCTACCGCTCCTGCTGCTACCACTGCTGCTGCTACCACTGCTGCTGCTGCTGCTGCTGCTGCAGGCACGTGGAGTCTTTGCTGCGGATATCGGAGGCGAACGCGAAAATGCGACTGTCTCCGACAGTTTCTTCTTTAGATGTGGATTTTGCAATTGCTGCTGTTTTGTCTTCTTTCATATCTTCGCAAAAGTTCGCAGTGCAGCAGAAGCTGTCGCGGGAGTTCGCGAGGTTTGTTTTTTGATTCCATTTTTATTCTTTTTGCTTTTTAAGTTATTTTTATTTATTTTTTATTTAATCCGCTTTATTTTGTTTGTTCTCCGGTTCATTTTAGTGTATTTAAATCCAAATTCTGAAAAATTCAAAAATGCCGTTTTGCTGCTGCTGCTGCTGCTCCTGGCTTTTTGCTGTTTTCAAAAGGATCCATTTGAAGACTCTTTTGGAAAACGTTTTCCTCTTTTTAACTCCAAATGTCTGCTGCAATTGCATGCAGCTGACGAGCCCCGCACTTTGCTGCTGCTGTTGCTGCTGCTGCAGGTACACGGCGTTGGCTACAGGAGGCTGGGCGACTCTTGCTGCGTTGCTGCGTCGGCTGCTGCAGCAGCGGCTGCAGCGCGCTGCGCTGCTGCAGCAGCAGCGCGAGCAGCAGCAGCAGCAGCGGCTGCAGCAGCAGCGGGGAGCAGAAGCAGCAGCAGCAAGCGGCGAAAAGCTGCTGGAGCAAGCAGACATTGACAAAGCCAGGAGAGTTGAGTTTACAGACTTCTTGAGGGTGAGTAACAAAATAAAAATAAAATAAAATAAAATAAAATAGGTTAAATAAAAGCAGAATTTAAATCAAATGGAGTAAATCAACAGCTTGTTATTTTTCATCTCTTGTTTAAATGTAAAATGCGCAAAAAATCTGCAAGTGAAAACATTTGCTGCAGAAAATTTGCTGCTGTGCTCTACTCTTAGGGTTTAGGGTTTAGGGTTTCTGGTCCCCCGAGTCTTGAATATTCAAGTGCCGCAAACAGATATTTATTTGTTTATCTGTTTATTTGATTTATTTGTTTTGTTCGTTTTATTTGATTTATTTGTTTTATTTGATTTATTTATTTTATTTGCAATATTTAAATGCCACAAATGCATATTTATCTTTATTTTATTCATTTAATTTATTTCCAAAAGTTGTTTTGGCCCCACTAGATAATGTTCACTTTCTATTTCTTTTTATTTTCATTTTTGTTGCATGCGGCTGTCAAATAATTTAAACAGATTTTCTTTGTGTGGAGCAGCAGCAGCAGCAGCAGCAGCGGCAGCAGCAGCAGCAGCGGTTTTGAATCTGCTGAGCAAAGCACCAGCGAACCCAAACCATAGCAAACCCCAAACCCTAGTAAACAGGATGAATCAAAAGAAAACCTCAAGTTCGTGCTATTGCTGCTGCTACTCCCCGTGCTGCTGCTGCTGCTGCTGCTGCTGCAGCTCGCCAGTCAACACAAATTCAGCGGCTACCAAGTTGAGCAGTGGCTTGCCTCCAAGACCTTCAAGGCTCACTTTTCCCTCATTGAGGTGGTAAACCCTAAACCCTCATAAACCCTAAACCCTCATAAACCCTAAACTCTGGCAAACCCTAAACCCTCATAAACCCTAAACCCTGGCACGCCGTAGGCCTAAAACCTGCGAAACCCAAAACCTTATTCAGCACTAAACTCTAGTAAACCCTAAACCCTAGCAAGCCCTAAACCCTAGCAAATCCTAAACCCTAATAAGCTCACGCCCTACCCTAAACTCTGGTAAATCCTAAGCCGGACTAAACCCTAACCTTGGTGAAACCTGAACCCTCTCAAACCCTAAACCCTAGTAAACCCTAAACCCAAATGCATGCCAACCTAAACTTTAAACCTTAAAAATCCCAAAACCCTAGTAAAAGCTAAACCCTAAACCCTCGAAAGCCTTGTTGCAGTCAGCAGCAAACCCTGAACCCTAATCAGTCTACCAAACCCTAATAAAAACCTAAACTAAAACTCTCTGGCCAAACCCTAAACCCTAATATGGGGCAAACCCTAAACCCTGGAATAGGCCTAGCCTTGGCGAGGCCTCTACTAGGGTTTAGGGTTTAGCCCTAAGGAGCAGCAAACCCTAGGTAACAAGGCTACACCCTAGCTGCAGCAAAAGAAGCTAAACCGCGTACTGCCTTGCGGGATAGCGAAGCAGCGCCTAGGGTTTAGGGTTTAGGGTTTGGCGTGCGCACAGGAGGACAACTGCAAAGTGCTCGTCAGCAACAGCTGGCGAAGAGAAGCGCCCAGTCAAACCACTGCAGCATGAGACGCTGTCGTGCATTTGCTGCTGCTGCTGCTGCTGCCAAACTGCAGCAGACGTTCTAGCTGCTGTAACCGATCTTGCGGCTGCAGCAACTCTTGCTGCTGCAGCAACTCTTGCTGCTGCAGCAACTCTTGCTGCTGCAGCAACTATTGCTTCCGCAGCCACACAGGTGAAGCTGCCGCAAAGTTTTGAGTGCGTGCTGTCCTGTGTGAAGTAGCAGCAGCAACAGCAGCAGCTGCTGCTGGAGCAGCAGCGGATCCTGCTGCTGCTGCTGCTCCCTGTTTGTCGCATGGGTATTTCTCACTCTTTGAAAAAACAAATCAAAAAAAATTAATTTAGGTTTCTCCAGCTGCTAATGAAGAGTTTGCTGCTGTGCTGCCGCAAGTCCGCTGCAGCAGCTGCTGCTGCTGCTCATGCAGATGCTTGCTCTAGGCCACATTTCAAATAGGCAAGTGGAAGCAGAAGCAGCACATGCAGGCCTCTGCGGCTGCTGGCCGCTGCCCAAATGGCTGCTACACTTGCTGCTGCTGCTGCTGCTGCTGCTGCTGCTGCTGATAGCACTGGAAAGGGTAGGCTGCATTAGCTCTCGCTGCATTGGGGTTGCGCAGCTGCCGCTGCTGCTGCTGCTGTGCAGCAGCAGCAAGTGGGGCAGGAAGCGCGTTAAGTCCTCCGTTTCTTCTGCTGCAGCAGCAGCAACTCCCTGCGGTCTTCTGCTTCCGCCAACAATCTGCTGCGGCGCTCCTCCTGCAGCTGTCGCGAAAAGCTGCTCTCCTGGCACTCCCCCCAGTCGAGCTGTGCATACACCTGAGGGTCGTAGCCGGTGACGGCGCGCATTTCGCTGCGCCAGTCTGCTGCTGCTGCTGCTGCTGCTGCTGCTGCTGCGCCGCGCCTGCTGCTGCCCACACCCTCCTCCTCCTCGTCGTCCGCTATGAACGAAGACATGTCCGAGTCCTCTTCCTCCCACTCGTCTTCGCTGCAGCTCCTCTCCCCCAGCAGCTCGGCCTGCTGCTGCGGCTGCTGCTGCTGCTGCTGCTGCTGCTGGCGCTGGCGCAGCAGCCGACGCGACAGGGAACCCACTGGCACGCTGAAAGACAAACGCGCGCTCGGAGACGGCCGGAAGCCACGCGGCACCTGCTGCTGTTGCTGCTGCGGCTGCTGCTGCTGCTGCTGCTGCTGAGACGGGGAAATAGGAGACTGCTGCAGCACGCGAGAGGGCTGGAAGCTAAGGACCTTCTTCGGCTTCTGCTGCTGCTGCTGCTGCAGCTCCTCCTGCTCCCTTTCACGCAGCAACTTCTGCATCAGCAGCTGCCGCTGCCGCTGCCGCTGCAGCGCGTGTTTGTTTCCTGCTGCAGCGTTTGGCAGCTTAGGCTTGGGGGGCCCGCTAACTGCTGCTGCGGGGGACTTCTTCTTGTGCTGCTGCTGCGGCTGCTGCTGCTGCTGCTGCTGCTGCTGCGGCTGCGGCTGCTCCTCGGAAGGCGGGGTCGCTGACGCCGAGCGAGAGCGAGAGTCGTCCAGCCTGGGTTGCTGCTGCTGCTGCTGCAGCAGCTGCTGCTGCTGTTGCTGCTGCAGCATGAGCCTTGGGTTCCACGGCTGCACGCCCCTGACGAGGTCAATTTTGCTGCTTCCAGAGGTCCCGGCTGCAGCTCGCGAAGCGGCGTTTGCTGCTGCAGCCTTCGCTGCTGCTCCTGCTGCTGCTGCTGCTGCTGCTGCTGTTTCGGCCTTCAGCACTTCGCAAGATATCTCCCCGTCTCCCCTTTCAAAACCCTCAGGCCTCCCCCGCAGCAAACGAACATCTGGATTGCTGCTGCTGACTGGAGTGCTGCAGATGTGTTTGACAATTTTGGTGCCATCTTGGCCGCGGATGACCACCACGTTGCTGCTGCTGCTGCTGCTGCCTCGGCTGCTGCTGCTGCTGCCGTTCGAGAAGAACGGGTGCGGCCGACTCTTCGAACGGGACCTGCTGCTGCTGCTGCTGCTGCTGCTGCGCTGTGAGCTGCAGACGCTTGTACTGCTGCTGCTGCTGCTGCTGCTGCCCGGGCGGGTAACCAACGTCCCTACTCGGTTGGCCACAGGCATCCTGAAAGATGCTGCTGCTGCTGCAGCAGCTGCTGCTGCCTTTGGGGTCTTCCCCTGCTTCTTCATCCGCTGCATGTCTTCCTCCAGCTGCTGCCGCAGCTGCAGCAGCTCCTGCTGCCGCTTCTGCAGCTGCTGCTGTAGCGCTGCGTGGGCGCTCTCGCGCTTTTCTTCCTGGTGATTAGTGTTGCTGCTGTTGCTGCTGCTGTTGCTGCTGCTGCTGCTAGTGCTGCTGCTGCCGCCGCTAGTGGTTGAAGAGCTAGCCCTCGCACTCGCACTCGCAGGCGGTTCGCTGCTGCTGCTGGAAGACACGCCGCTGTGGCTATTTTTGTTGCTGCTACCGCTCTGGCCGCTGCTGCTGCTGTTGTTGCAGCTGCTGCTGCTGATGTCAATGGGCTTGCCCTCTTGCAGCAGCTGCTGCTGCCGCTCCACCTCGACGAGCCTCTTCGCCATCGCCTGCACCTGCTTCTGGGCCTGGCGGTCTGTAGGGATAGATCTGTTTGCTGCTCTTAGCTGTTTGACGAGCTGCTGCCTTTCCTGCTGCAGCTGCTGCAGCAGCTGCTGCTGCTGGCTCTGCTGCTCAGCCTCCGGACGACGAGCATCGCGAGCTTCCGCCTCCCGTTGCTGCTGCTGCAAACGCTGCTGCTGCTCCTGCTGCTGACTCTTCTGCTGCTGCTCTCGTTCCTGTTGCTGCTGTCGCTCCTGCTGCTGCCGCCGCTGCTGCTGCAGCAGCAGCCGGCGCCTCCGGTCCTCCACGGACAGCGGGCGCCCTGAGTGTAGCAGGTTGCGTTCAACTTTGGGTGGCCCCACGAGGACGTCAAGGAGATCCATTTTGCTGCTGCTGCTGCTACTGCCGCTGCTGCTGCTGGGAGGGAAAGGGCAGCCGTTGCTGCAGCAGCACACCACTTGCTCCTGCGCTGCAGCGCAGCTCTAGGAAGCAGTGCTGCTGCTGGTGTGGCTCCTCGAGCTGTCCATACACTTGAAGCGCCACTGCCCGTAATCGCGTCGGCTTCCGAAGGCAGCAGAAGACGCTGGTACTGCTGCTGCTGCTGCCGCTGCTGCAGAGAGCTGCGCTCGAGGCACAGCTGCTGGCTTCGGGGAGCAACAAACGCGGGCGAGGACAAACTGAAAAGTGTATTAGGTGAAACTATAATCGGTTGAAGTCCAAAATGCTCTAAAGGAAGAGGCAAACGTCCACAATGCGCGTCACAGGCCCGCGCCAAGGGCGCTGGCCTCAACCCCCTGGACTGAGCCGAACGAACGTGTGCACGCCGCTACGGTGTACGTACGCCGTTTGTTTTGCGTTAACTCAGAAAGCAGTAAGTGAAAGAGCTTCGCATTTAATTAATTCCTCTAAAGACGAGGGCGCAGCAGCAGACAGTGCGCGGCTGCCTGAGCGGCTACTCACGGCGGCCGCTGCAGAGAAGCAGCCAGGCCTGAGCCACTCGGGGCGTTCGCATCTAGCTGCAGCGAAATTAGAGTTCAAATACCTTTTAAAAAGGTATTTTCTTTTGAATTCAGCTTCTGTCGCTTCCTTTTAGATCCTTCTGCTGCCTTGTCTTCCTGCGCGACCTTGTGCATGCTGACAGCCAGAGCCCGAAACGTGAAAAGTCGGATTCTGGTGGCTAGCTATTGCCAGCGGCGCTGCTAGCAGCTGTTAAGAAGCAAAAGTTCGCTTTAAACATTTAGTTGCGTCTTTTGCTGCCAGCTAGCGAGCGCAGCAGCAGCAGCAGCGCTGTAGCACGAGGCAGCAGCAGCAGACAGGTCACCGGCAGTTTGCCTTTTTGCTGCTCTCTCCGAAAATCGCAGGTAAAGAGAGCAGCCAAGTGCTGCACTTAGCTGAAACTCTTTCACTCTGCATCCCCTGGCCTAGGAGCAGCAAAGAAATGCATTTCTGTCGCATTGGAAGTGCTTACCGTCTCATTTCCCCCTTTAATTCCCACATGAAGTCAAATGAAAGCAAAAAAACCCGAATATCCGCTGTCACAGGCTATTGCGTAGATATATATCCCCCGCATGCAAGTCCGCATTGGGGTTTTTAGGTCTTTTGTTTGACTCTTCTAGTCGTAGTGGTCTTAATGGGACTTAATACATTTCTCTTTGGCTATGGTGGCTTCTTTATGCCTGTCTTTCAGGCTAGCTGGTCTTGAGCTGCGCACAGAACTTCAGCAGCAAGCTGCAGCAGCAGTGAAGCTATTTCTGTGGGGAGGGGTTGCTAAAAATATTCGGTTAGTGTTCAGAAATAACTTCAATTTGAAATAACTAAATGTACTAAATGTATTTGGAGTCTTTAAGGCCCCACGAAAAGACCTGCTCACAAAAGCTTCCCTTTTGCTGAGCGCTTGTGTAGCTCTAAACTTATTCACTTCAGGTTTTAATGGAACTACTGCACAATTTTTTTTCGTTTTGTTTCCTAATTGTGTTTATTTAAGCAACAATTGATATTTGATCAGCAGCATATTCCAGCATTTCCTGAAGCTGAGTTTCAGGGCTCTTTTTATCTCAAGGTTTCCGAGCCATTTCTGTAGCCGTCTGAATTTTCTTTTTTGTGGAATGCGGAAGTCTTCTATTTATGTTTCTTTTAAGCAGTTTTGGAGGATTTGCCGCCATTGTAGCGTTTTACGCTTCTCACATTTTAAATCTTCCTCTTCTTTTCATTGTTTCTCAATTAATGCTGCGTCGGCAGCATTAATTCAGAAACAATGACCATTTCCGGCTGCGCTATCCCCGGCCCTCAGCAGCAGCTGTGCTGCAGCAGTATTCTGTGTTCAGCAGCAAGCAGCTGCTGCAGAAATGATAGCAGAACGCACTGGAGGTCCTCTGGTCTGTGAAAGAAAGAAAGAAACTAAAAAGAGCTCTGCCAGCAGCAGGTGCTTTCACAACATCCCATGTGGGATCCGTCTGCAGCAAAAGTGAAAACCCTTAGAGCGCACTCTATTGCTCTTTCGATGCAATTTTTTTCTGTTTGCTGAGTGGTTAAGCTTCTTCGTTTTGCTGTTGGTCGCGAAAAGAATTCCTTTTCCAGTTTTCTCCTCTGTCAGCTGCTGGGTCTATTGCCAGTTCGCGCCATGTTGGAGTGCCAGGAACCCCAAAACTACTTTATTTGTTAATTTTGCCATTAGCTTTCCAATTTGTTTGTTTATGTATCTCTGGTTCGAGTTCAGGCCGCTGGTGCACAACAATGTGTGGCACTTCGAACTGCTCTGCGCAGCCCTGTTGTAAACGGGGGTTCCTTGGCTTCCTCCTTTCTTAGACTTTCTGTTGCGGCCTCATAATTATCGGTTCCAGTAGATGTTTTTGCTGAACAAATAATATTCTTATAAATCGAAAACCGTGGAGGCAGGAAACAAACGACCAGAGAAATTCACGTTTGCAGGCCTGTGGTAATGAGAATAGTATATTTGAAATCTCTGTCCCACGCCCTGTCTTGCAGCAGACTAAAGACCCTTTTGGTTTGGCTTTTCTACACTAAGTTGCGGACTGAAGCTTTTCTTGATTCGGTGTTTCTGCACTAAGTTGCTGAGAGTATAACAGCGACTGCCACATGGCTGTCGATGCTTTTTCCTAAGTGAATTCAAGAAGCAGCAGCAGCAGACAAGCCTTAGGCAGCAAACTGTTCGTTGCATGCTGGCACAAGTGGAACTCAGAATCTTCTTAATGGATTTCGTGGTCCTGCTGGCTTCTGGGCCGCAGGCGAGAGCGGCAACAAGTCCAGCTCTGCAAGCTCATTCACAGATGCTGCTAAGCAAGTGACAGCACATAGTGACAGCCAGCCTCAGCAATACTTCAGGACAACGTTAACCCAAGTCTCCCTTAGAAATAAAGCCGCCCCTATGTTCCTTTAGAGGCTCCAGGAGGGGCCAGCGGCTGCGCAGGATGAGTAACCTCTTGCCATGCAAGTCACAAGTCACTCCTGTCCTCCGTAAATTCAGTAGTGCTAACTTGTTAAGCTTCAGCCCTGGCAACCCTAAAGCTGTCTGTGGTGGGAAAGCTTCCCTATTGCTCCTTTAGTGAGGCAGTACTGCCACCTGCATGCATATACATTTACATTGAGCATAGGCTGAGTTAAAAGACACTTAAATCAGGCATAGGTCACAATGTTGCAGTATGTGATTTCGAGCACAGCTCATTGTGAATCGCGTCTGCGTTCTTCTTTTCTGCTTTTGTACACTGTCACACATGTGCATCTTATTTTTGTTTTTCTGCTGGTCTCCTGTAGAATGCTCCGGGTCATCCTGTGGAGAGCTGTGGGCAAGGAGCTATGAGGCTGCCAATGCAGCACGTGGTTTGTAATCCGAAATCCAGTGAATGTCGCCCCATATAAGCACCTCAACAATGACGGAATGGAAGAAATGGGAGACAATGCCACAGAATAAGTGCTTGCAGCACAAGAGAGCCTGTCAGCGAGACGTAAAACCAGATTGAACATCCCTGCCAGAAGGGAACAGTTCCCTTGGATTCCCACGCTGCAGAGGCCGCTGCGAAACTGCATGCCTCTCGATGCTGCAATCAGCAACCAAGCCCTTTCACCCGCTTTCCGTGAAAACAGCCAACCACAGCTGCTGCATGCGCACGTCCGAAGCACACAAAGGGGCCGCATTTCTATGGTATTACAGGAAAGCGACGCCAAGCTGCGAAGGTGACGAGCGGAGGGATCAGGTGAAGGCAGAAACGAGCCACCGCAGCAGTTCCTGTTATGCGTACTAGTCCTTGCCAGCTTGACTGTCTTTTTCTGACTGTATGCAGTGAACAACCTCTCATTTTCACTCACTGTTGCAAGCTGAGATGCGCATATGCTACATTCAGTGCCACCCGTTCAAGACTACCTCGCCATTAAAAGGACCTCTAGGGCAGTAGCAGCGCAATCGGCAGGACCTGATTTTGCACTCAGCCCACATCAGGGTGCACCTGCCAAGTTGTTGTTTGTGCGCCAGATCGCTAATAAAAGGTGAAGCCGTAGCCGAATGCATTCAGGTTATACCGGCTCTATAGAGCAGTGATCAACGGACAAATGATTTTTTTCGCGATTCAGTTGCTGAAAGCTTTTACTAATGTCGGATTACAAATGCATTGACTCCTGTGGGGCTTTCAACTTTCATGCATGAATCACGCGCTTTTTGTCTCGGCGCACAACTTCTCACACGACCATCACGGTACTGAGTGCCTTTGTGGTGTGCGACATTTGTTCATATGATTAAGGGCAGCGTGAAACGAGATGTAAATTCGACCTATTGTTCCGATATGGGTTCCAAATCAGGTGGCGATGACGTGGAGAATAACTTTAAATGTGTGTTATGCATATACATATATAGGTGGTGACGTTTCACGTGTAATCTAACTGTCAGATGAAATAAAAACCCGCTACAGCGTTTCGGGAAGTATATTTTTGTGCGTCTTTTCACGAATAATTATTCCAAGCACTTCAAAGAAGAACGATTTAACTGCAAATTAATGTTTGGTTTCGACAAGAAAAGAAAGAGGGAAGGTGTGCCCAGTGCTTATAATGCACAATGTGGAGGAGAACAAAACGACGTGGCAGCAAGAACGGTCATACGCTAGGCTTCTGCCGTTTGACCCCAAAACGCTGTGATTAAAGCTGAAAATGATTAGGGCGTAGGTAGGCCACAATCGGTCTTTAGAACTTCTTAACGAAAGCCTTCTAGCCATGTTAGTTCCCAACCCAAGCTTAGCGTCCTTTTTTCCATAAACCAAGCATTAGCGGCAGCATTTCATCTTTAAATCGACAGCTTATGCTCACGTAGTCAGCTGGACAGTTGTGAGCTGCAAGGGCTAAATTTCAGACTCTCTCAAATGAGTAGGCCGCTAGTGATTGACGACACTGTATCTTTGTTTCTAATATTCCTTGTGAAAGCAGTTTCTTGTTGCAGCATCAGAAGACTTTTGCATATTGTAGAATCAATTAGTCGTTACATTAGCTTCGTTTCATGGGTGAGTGCAAACTTCGAGCTGCCGCCACGTGTGTTTCTGCTTCACTGAGTTGCCTAGGGCACTGTGCAAGTATATCCAGGCCTGGAACAAAGCAGCGCCAAAATGGCTAAATCATGAAAATGGCCTTATTTGTGAATTTTGTTGTCCCAGTAAAATCAGTAAAATCAATAACACAGAACAAATTGAGCATCATTCGCTTATTTTTCGCCGGCTTAACGCTTCTGCTGAACCATCATGCACGAAAGTAGCCTTTAGAACGAATGGAGAGCCCTAAAGAACCTCAAATAGGTGAAATCCTGGCCTCCACGGCTCTTTGTCTTCGAAACAGATCGTGCTAGCTGCTTTCCGATATCGTGAAGAGGGCTACTGTAATTTGAATATTCTACCCTTGTACTGTTGGATTAAAATCTGCTTTCGACGTTTGTGACCTGACTAAGGCTCGCCCTCAAGAAGTGCCCGTGCTTTGCCTAAGAGCTTGTCTGCAATTTGACCTGGCACACATGATAAGCCTTCAAAGATTTAAAGCGCAACGCGCCTTTTAGTTTTACCGCAAGAGGCATTTTGTGGCATCACACTGAGCTGAAGTGTTGATAACGCTGAGAAATGCTGTGCACATTATTCGGTACCCCATTCTGGCCACAATGGAAGTGCTCGTAAGCTTGCAAAGAGCTAGCAACGCTGCATATAAATTTTAGAGTACAAGCATAATTGCCATTTGTGTAAACATTTTAGCTAAAGGTTTCAAAAGCTATTAATTTGAAGGGAGCGTCAACACTCCTTCAGCTCCTCTTATGGGTCCTGTTTGCAACGCACAACGGCCCACGGTGAGAGTCGCTATCCGACATTTTTTTCTGATGTCAGGCTTGATGATATCAGGCTTGATCTGGAGATGCAATAAAACAATTGCCGCAGCGAGAAGCCGTACGAGTTACGAATAGTTTTTTTCACGTTTGAATTTTAAAAAATGTGGTGCACAAAATCCTTGTTGCAAGCGTCTTCGGAGTTCAAGGGAAAATGGCAGAATGAAGAACGGAAAGTGCGCAGCAAGCTCATCTTTTGTTCCGTATGCCACAGAGTAGTTGCTGGAGACCATCTAGACACGAGGTGAGCTGAACTATCCGATTTCAGACGGCTTCATGCAAAGCGCTAAACTAAACATTTCCACTGTAGAAAATAAACATGAAAAGGCGAATTTGAAGTCATATAACCGCAAATCAATGCTGCTTTGAAGATTCATGATTAATTGAAATGTTGCGGTTTGACACGAAGAAGCTTTGGCTGTGCAATGGAATTCAAAATAATGCAGTCCAGCCATGAATTTTAATGTCTCTATATCATTCAGAAGCGCATCACATCAGGTCTTTTGCCGATCTCGAGTGTGACATCGAAAACGAGTATGTGAAATTACTAGACTTTTAAGAGCTTTGGAAGTCCACTCTACAGAATATTTGAGCTCCACTTGAAGCGGCAAGCAGGCGGGACTCTTACGTTAGGCTCTTAAGACCATTCACTTGCAAATTAGGGCTAACAGTGCTTTTTGCTCTCGGCGCACCAGCGCAAAATACTAGAACCAAATGCAAAAGCACTAAAGGTAACACACAGCTACAAATGCAAGAGCGAAAATATACACCGCATTCTGCATTTGGTCTGTCCCAGCCCCAGCTCTCCGAAAAGTGTACTTTGTAGGTATGGGAGTACATAAAAAGCTCGTGGGGAGTGTAGCGCCTGCTGTATTAGATTCTGGTTTCAATTCTTTGTAATTGGCTGGATCTACATTGTAATGACCCCTCTTTTTGTGACATGCGGTGACCTCCTTAGGAAGAGAGCCCTCCAATTACATGTTCCCAGAGCTCGCAGCAGCCTAGCGTCTTCTCATCAATATACAAAATAGATTATCTCTCGGGATACCCTGCAAGGTGAGCGCGCCCCTGCAGTTTTCTAGGTTGTTTGACTTGAGAAAGACTACTTGGTTACTAGCTTGGAATCATGCACACTTACGACGACACGCTATACTCGTCCCATATTTTTCGAGTCTTCACTTTCTACCACCCATTCTATTAAGTGCTAAACGCCTTTCACTGGCACCTTTGAGCCAGCAAGGGGCTTTCGCAGAGCCTGAGATTTGCTTAAAGTTCCAACAAGAGTACCCTGCAGTGGTAGAATTAGGGAAGTCTACGGACGATTTCTCTAAAGAACTATGCTACAGTGCCCTGAAAAGGTCGCAGCAGATCTGTGTATTCACGAACAACATTCAATTAAAGCAAAGAACAGGACAAAAATGTTCACGGTGTAAAGCTGCAGTAAGGGCACCTTTACAAAGACTACCGGTGCCTCTGCTTGACGTTCGACCCGCGAAGCAAACGGCAACCGTTCTACGTCATTTTCTGCTAGCTGTGCATTCACTTAGAAGTTGAATGCAAAGGCAACAGCCGCTACCAAGGCGGTGCTAAGGAGGGTAGTGGAGAAAGCAACTGGAGCGCCGTTGCCTTGAGACATCGTCGCAGAAACCTTTTTCCAGGTGCTCTCGCTGAAAGCAAACAAACACGGTCAGATCGCGGGAAAAATTGTCAACAGCTTTCATTTCCGAATGGATCTGCCAACTAAGCAGCTAGGGCGATCTAATGAGTAGCGCTCGTGTTGCTTTATAATCAGAGAAGGACTTCAGTAGTTATGCGCACAGACTATTACTTGTAGGTATACGAGAGGCTGCAAAATCCACTCGTTCTGTGTGAGAAGCTTCATATTGACAGCAAAGGCTACGAAGCTTCTCTAGTCCTGACAGCTTACGATATGGGTGCTTTATCCTTTGTGAAGACTGCAGGAGAGAGCTCGCAAACGATAGCTTGCTGGTCGCAGCCCTCAACACTGTAGCAGGTGGCTGTGGTACTCTCCCCTTCGCTGATGAGGGAAACGAAGTTCGTTGCATCACCCTTTTTGTAAACAGCCTCGCTGGTGGTGTAAGCTGGTGGGATTGCGCTGAGCAACACACACAGTTCACACATAAAGAGAGCTACGCCATCGTTATGGGCACAGGGAGCGGGGCAGCAGCTGCTGTGTTGTTATGTCCCAATGTACTGCGAAAACAGGGTCGATGTTTTGCGTGACAGAACCCCCACCTGAATTGTTCATAGCCCTTCTTCCAGGCTGCAACAGCAACGGAGCAAGTGGCTTCAGTGCCAGAGTAGTACATCAAGCTCTTTGTCATCTTTTGGTCCTGTGATGAGAAAAGGAGGGCGAAACAGTGAAACTTGATACTCTCTACCTCGTCTGACATCAGACGAGGTAGGAAATGCACAAAATATCGATGTTTACCGTTTCGGTGGCGCTTTGTGAAGCGTCTTGCAACCAAAACTGGTACAAAGAGGAAGCTGTTCAAAGTTACTATGCGCATGGCCAAGACGTGATGAAACGAAGCTCGTGAGCGGCTCACCATAATCGTAACAGTTCCATTCTTGAGAGCGTCGCAAGTCACGCCACTCATGGGCTCGCTAAGCTGTGTGTTTCTTGTTGCTTTCGAACTGGCCTTGGCTTCTGTGAAACCCTTCAAGCCCAGGGTTTCTTGCGTGCGGAAGCCGTTGATCTCCTTGACGCAGCTCTTGCCTTCCTCTATTGCAACACAAATAAAGAAAGCACACGACGTACTTGTTGTGTCTCTTACTTGCTCAGCGATTCTCTCTCTTTCAAGCAGTTGTCTCTCTAATGTAAGCTAGCACCGGCACCAGACGGCGGTAAATTATTGCGCCACAAACGACACGACAGAAGTGCTGCAGCCGTGTGAAATGAAGGCAACGCCTGACAGTTCTTTCACCGCACTTCAGACTTCCAGAGAGAGTGTGCCACTGCCTTACGGAGTCTAGTGAAAGAGATGGTAGGGGGCTTGGGTTCGGGTTCGGGTTCAACATCAGGCTCCTCTGTGCCCGTAATTTTGTTCCAGGTTTCCTCACTGCTCACACAAGGCCGCTTCACATTCTTCTGCAGGCTGGCCTCAATAGAACTTGTGGGCTAATTATTTTCTGCACTACCGAGGGCTGGCTGTAAAAGAACGACGGAAGGCTAGGCTCCAGAAGAGTGGACGTGTTGGACGGCTTGTTCAGAAAAGGGAACTAGTTTAAAAATTCGAGCCACAACAAAGCACTTAGAATAATACTGCAGTGGAGAGCGAATATGCTCTCGTGTAGTGTTTCCTGCAGACCATGACATACCTGATGGGCTGTTCACCCTGGACTAGTGTTGGCTTTTTAACGAAGCAAATGAGTGCGGAGTTTGTGCAGCCAGTGGCATCATAGCATCTCATTTCGCGGGCCTCATCAACCATCATCGAGACATAGCCGGCCACTTCGCTTCTGTAGTAGATTTCATTGCCTGAGACTCCCGACCTTCTTGCGCGCCGGGTCCTCTTCACTACATCATCCTTTGCCTCGAATGCAGGTGGGCGCTCTTCTCTGCACGCAGCATGTTTCGAAACTCAAATGAAGTGAAGAAGTTGTGGGAAATCAGGCCTTCACTGTGACAGGGCAATCTCCTTGCGAAAGAGAGTCTTCACGAATGCATAAGACCAACAACAACTTTTCCCATGACTCAGCATATTTTCTAGCTTTTTTTGTTGCGCAATGCCACAGAATCCACTGCCATTACTGGCTGGTAGCGAAGCGGACGCCGACTGACCCAAGCTGCTCAAGACCAGTTTGCCAGAACGCGACGGTTTCTTCCCCTGTGGGAACCTCTCCACCTTCTTTGGAATAGTAAATCAGAGTGTACTCCTTTTCCACCTGAGAATAGCTTGCACCATGTCAAATGAAGCTGCATGGCGCCCAAGCAAGCTACAAAGCTAAGAATTATTTAATAAATTCATGATGCTCAAACAGTACAAAGGGTTATGGTTGGACCAAGACGATCGACAGTATTCAAAAACGGGTAAAAGCAGCATTACTGTTTGCTTTGCTGTGGATATGGAAACTCACCACTGGGTCGATTGTCGAGCTGTTGATCTGGTCGCATGTTAGAGCATACAGTGCATTTTCATATGATGCTGCTGCGCTCTTTTCCTGGAATTCGTCTAGTTCTTCACTCTGTGCCGCAGTGAATTCATCGAGATTCAGTTCCTCTGCACCTCTCACGGCATTCACCGCATCCAGGAGGTCTTGGCCCTCTGCACATCATGAAAGCGGAAAACAGTCACCGAACAATGGCACTGGCAGCCGCCTACTCCACCAATTCTCCTGAATCTAAGTCAAGCATTTATTCTGAAAATACACCCTACCATGCGCATTCAGGACGGGCTTCTTCTTCTTGTATTCATCGTATTTGTGCCACATCTGACGGCTGCAGCCATTCACAACAACAAGCAAGCCGCTTGCCGTACTTACAAAGCCTGCCACTGACTCAAAAATATTCCGCGCTTTGAAAGCGAAAATTTGTGTTGTTTGTTGGCCTTCTATCCTATCCTTTAGGATGGAAGAACAACAGACAAAGCGTGGCGACTCTTGGCAAGCAAGCTATCCCTGTTACGTAGGACTCTAGCAGCTTTGTGCGCTGCCCAAGTAAGGCCTTCATCGTTAATACCATTCTGAGCTCACGTTACTGGACTTGCGTCAGCTTGTACTCCAGAAGGCTTGATATAACACACGATAGGGACATTGTCTGCACACTCCGCTGCAGTTCCACAGTAGATGCTCTGTGCCGTTTCGCTCAATAAGCTCGCAAGGGCCGCAGCATTGGGATCTTCGTACGTCCCTGTATTGTCTTTGTACACTGGAGGATCTTGCCCTCTGCACGCACAAACAGCTGTTTTCATTCGAGTTGAACCCTCGCATGAAGCACAAATATTCATCCGTAAGCCTGCCCACTTCCGGCGCGCTGCACGGGATACCCCCCTTCCGTAATAAACGTACTTGAAGGCTGTGTAGCCACCTTCCCACTGCTGCAGAGCTTCCTGGCATGTCATAGTTTCCTCGCCTGCCTCTGCTTTTGCAGCCGAAATAACAAATACCTTGGTTTCTCCGGATTCGTTCGACTGCACAATATCACCCCAGTGGCTATTTTATTTCGTCGTTCCCTTTGTCCCATTCCTCATACTAGTTATGATATTCTTACGGTTTTGCAGTGCTCCTGGTTACAAGCAATGATTGGGAGAAAGCAAACAGTATTTTCCTCGTGATAGGTTACTGGGTCGTGTTCTTCACTAGTGGACCTACGATATGGTTGAACCTTCCAGACTGCAGTGCACTGCACTCAGTTGCGGCGAGAAACGCAGTGATGTCAGTGGTTGGATCTGCTTCGGCGAGCTCTTTAAAGTCCTCAGCTGTTGAAAGAATGCTCTTGCGCCACGTGTTTATTGTCTTCGTGCAATATTTGTCACCACCAGCCTCTGAGGAATGCGGCAGCAGCCGAGGAGTTCGGAGCTACAACTGTTCATTTTCGTTGCTATTTTCAGGCGCATTATTCAAATGATGGTAGTGCTCTTCTCAGCCAGCAGCTATGTCTACTTTTAAGACCTTCCCTACCCCGTGCGCAGCAAATCACTTCAATAGAGCATTTGCGGAGCGGCCAACAGCTCCTGTTTAAAGCTCGTTTCAGCCTACCTATAGGTGTTAAATTAGCTGCTTTGGCGCTCCGCATATTTCGGAGTGCCCTGCTACCTTGTCCAAAGGCAGCTGCAAAGCTCCCGTGAGCTATAGCGGCCGCGGCCGCAAAAGCGGCGCAAGTGCAGAGCGATTTCATTGCCGAAATGACCAAAACTAACAATTACTGCCTAAATTAATTCAAGTGCACCAAATAAATTGTTCCAGGATTGTTTTCTGTTCCACAGTCGAGAGGCGCGCCCTGCATTGTTCAGCGGTGCTGCGGCGGGGCTCCAACAGTCGATGCGGGGACCTCCGCAGAAGTGCACCTGCTAGTGCCGCTTTGGCTCCGAGGGTATTTTCATCTGTTAGGTAGTTGTAAAAATTAACCAACCAATATTTCATAATATATGTGAAAATTTGGCCCGGAAACTCCGGTGAAACCCAACGTCGTCGCACCTATTAGCAGGTCACTTCCGACCCCGGCTCAGTAGACCCAACGAGCACGCACGCTGTGAATGTTACAAAAACAAGCCTTGCTAAATAATTTTTCTAATTTTATATCAAAAACTTGTCAACCGTTATTGTTTTATTTTGCCTCCATGGAAGTAGCAGCTGCACTCGATCCAGCAGCCTGTCCTGAACCTGACACTTCGGGACAAAATCATCAACCAGCAGACTGCAGTTTAATCCCCGCTTCCTTGGCTGCAACGTCGTCAAAATTGCATATTACTAAATTTTATTAATTTTGAAAAAGATTTACAGTGCTTTTCTCTCGCTTAAGCGCGTAAGTTTGGAAAAAAATAGTGTTTGTTCCTGAGGTTCTTCAAGGAGCGGGAGCTGATGGTCATGGACACATACATTGCTGATACCACCCAGATGATGCCGTGCTACTAAAAAAATTATACTTTTGTTTTTCTTAGCTACTCAAGGGGCAAGTTAAGCGGCCCCTACTGGCCACTGTTGGCTATGCACGGATTGGTTTAAGGTTATACACTGCAAGCTGGAACTGACGGCTACGGGATTCTTGCTGCGTGGTTTGCCGAGTCATAGTGGATATTTACCAGTATTTTCATTTTATTAGATTTTTTGGAGCGGATGATCACGGAAAGAGAGTTTTGGTAGGCCTAGCGAAACTGCTGTTGGGGTAACTCGTGTTGGTCGATTCGAGAATCGACCATCGCGAGGCTCACAGCTCAGGTTCCTGCTGTCCCAGGAGCCCGAGCTGTGAGCCTTCGCAGAAACAGATGTATGATACAATCGAAAATCTAGAATTCCTCCTTTCACACCTCTAGCTTTCAATGCTGTTTCACGTTCTTGTATGAAGCTGAGGTCCATTTTCCGCCCAATTGCAGCTGTTGCATAGGAGAACGCTTGTGACCAAAAGATCGTGGCGAACATCAACTTTCGAGACTTTACATGGCGTCTCACAGTCCTGTGCAGCTACACTGTTACATCATCGTCTCGAAAATCCGCTCCACGGAGTGTTGCCCATAGTCACTGGGGCGAGTGGCAGAACCGTCGTTTGAAGTAACTTGACTCTTATTTTGTACTGCAGTCAGAGGCACTCCCTCTTGTTCGCCAAGTTTTCTGGCGATTGTCTTGTCAACGCCTATAGACGTTTGTGAATTTTCCAGCCTCTCCTTGGTGCTGTCTGCAAACAGGTTTCAGCAAACCTGCTGCGCTTGACTCCAGAGGTCATCCAACTGCTATAACCGACCAGATCGTGAACTGATGAAAGCAAGAAAAGTTTGCCACGTATCTGTGTCTATTCTCCAGCGGCACAACCACAGAGCAGCTTCCTGTCCTGGTACTGGGTACTGAGGATGCCATTCGCAACCTTCAGAGATCAGACCCAGCCACACATGGCGAAGAAATTCCAATAAGTGATAGCTTCTCACTATCTGTAATACGGTCCAGTCTGGCAAGTAGTGCCTGTAGACTACCGAACTGAATAACTGTCCACACTCAGCGTGGAGCTGCTGCATTAAGCGCAGAGCGAAGCGCCTTCCCTAATCACCAGACGGTGCGAGCGCGTAATTGAGCGCGTAATTTAGCAATGTCCTGAGCTTGGATGCTCAATACGCTGGCAGCCCCTACAGCAATGGAGGAAGAGGCAAGAGAAAGAAAAAAAACAGCCCCAGCAGCAATATTTGACTCCGGCACTATGAAGATGCGGCTAATGCATTTAGGAACCTTAGTTTCTAGGTTCACCTTGGTTAAATAAAAGTTAAATGCACCCTAGCAACATCGCTGCTGAAAGTTACGTTCTCTCCGGTCAATTATTGCTGCTGTGGAGTTTTGCAACGTCATCATCACCTTGGACCTTTCTTATCAAAGTAACAGCTTAACCCTAAAAGCTGGGCCACGTCACAAAACATTGACAAGATGCGTGTAGTTGCCTGGCGAGCTCGAAAAGCTTGCTAAACTTGTGTGGCGTGCGCTCCCTTGACTGCTCAGTATGCAGCATGGCACGAAAGAGTAGCTAATTTCTTACTTCTGCAAGGCACATGCCCGTACTATTAAATATTTTTGCGGTCCGGGAAACAGACATATTCCGAAAAATGTGCATGTTAGGAGGTTCCTATCCAAGTCAGTGGTGAAATGTGCGAAGACTACCCAACCCACGTAGAGAAGCTTTGGTGAAATGTTTGATGCTGAGCGTACTTCCTCAGCACCAAGAAAGCAAGCAGGTCACGCAGCCACAACAACCCCTCACATCACGTGCATCGCATTTTGCCGTTTAGACCAGTAAACGTGGATGGAAGAGCAAGACATGAGGAATCTTTGACTTATATGGTACCGGCGGAGTACGCTGTTTAGAAACTCAAAAACAGTATCAACTGTAGTTCAGTCCACCTCAGCGCAACGCCAATTCAGGCCTCAGGCTAGAAGTGAGAAATGCATGCAGCTTCGCTGCATGCTTCAAGAGGAAGCTGCTTTCGACTACAGATCCCCCCTTAGCACCAGTAGAACAGCCTACAAATTCGCCTCTCCAATATGGGCTGACGGTGGGTAGAAAAAGCCCGCGAGAAAGCGCAGCTTCCCGCATGCCTTTTCGTTTGCCTAAGAGTGTCAAAGTCCACAAGCGGGGGTTCAGCGGCTGGACCAAGGGATTAAGCCACGATTGTAACATCTCTTGCTGCCGACGCTGCATCTCTGTAGTGATGCCGAAAGTTCTGCCTACGCCCACAAGAAACGCAGAGACGAAAACATCGCCAATTTTGAAAGATATTAGAGAAACAGTGAATACAAATTTAATTTTCAAAAAACATGACGAGGACCACCAGCCCCAGATTAAGCGGCATGCACTGCAGAACAGCCACAAGCGTCTTACTGGTTGCTGCTGGAGTCGCTCTAGGGGGAAATACTGGCAAAGCAGCACTCCTGTCCTGTCTGGCCAGCAGCGGGGACGTGCAGGGCGGCACAGCGCTGCCAAGACTGGCGTCAGAGCACAACGCAGCTGCATCAGGTACTGCTGCCGCTTCCGGCGTTGTGTCTGACGCAGCTGTTGCTGCCGAGCTGTCCAGCTGGAGGAGCACCTGCTGCGCCTGTTGTAGCGCCCTCACACAGCAGATCTGATGATGCTCAAGCTCATGGGGAATTCGAATGGCTAAAGTGTTTATGAATGAAATGGCAAGCTGGATGTGTTGCTGCAACAACAGCATTTCATCCACACCAAAGGGGTTCTGCAGCACGGGAGTCGCAGCAACTCCAGATAGACCGCTGCAGGGCTGCGGCCTCCAGGGAGCAGCTCCTCGTGCGCCCAGAGTCACTACACTGAGACTGAAAGGTAAAGCCATCAGCCGAAAATGCCACAGCTGTAGAGCACTGGCAGCACGTTCCGCTGCTGCAGCAATGTGGTGAGCATCATCTTCTGAGTGCTCCGCTGATCCATTTCGAGCTGTTTCTGGCGGTTTGGAATCTGAGGAAGAAAGCTTTTCACCGATTGACTGCAGTTTCGTTGCTGCCTCACCAAGAAGCGCAGCAGCTTGCAGCCGCAGGACCGGGTCTCCCTGCCCCAGAGCTGTTGCCGCGTTAGTAATTTCCGCAGCAACTGCAGAGCCTTCCTTTGCTGCGGCGGACAAGTGCACTTCTGCATCGCAGACTGCCTGCCTGTTGCTGCTGCGCTGACATGCATGCGCAGCGCCAAGAGTTGCAAACCACAGTGGATCTTGCAGAAGCTGAAGGTGGCACCTTGCAGAAGCATACGCCACAGATAAAAATGCTGAGGGGTGCTGCCTCTGTAGCTGTGCGATAGGAAGATTCAGAGCGCACGTTGCTTCTGTGGCCGTCCGCCGCATGCTCGCAAAAACTGCCTCATCTGGGTATCCGTAGGATTTGCTCGCTGCACACGATGATGCAGCGACTTGAGGCACAAAGCCTGTCATACTTCTGCATGCGGCATGCTGGTTTGTTGTTGTATTGCTGTGAAAAATGGCAAATTGACGCTCTGTGACAGCAGCTGATCCTGAAGGGCTGCGCCGCCCTCACGGCAGAACTTGTGGAGGCAACAGCCTCTATGATTGATATGTGCTTTTAATTTGAAAATATAATTCATTCGTAAAGTGGCTGCAGGACACTTTGCTGCGATAGGACAACTCCATGGACCCTGGGACTACAGGATGGGCCTCCGCAGCAATCGGCACTGCTAAACGGGTCAGTCCGACCCCAGAGTCGTTGGGATTTTTAATTTGGTGTTGATTCTCTATATTTTATGACGTTGTTGGAGCAAGCTAGGCCATTGTCGCTCGACAGAAGCCAGATTGGCTGCAACCTTGCATGCTTCTGCCAGTCTGAACCTAGGCGCAAGCACGTGCGGTTTCGCTTATTCCGATGCAGGAAAATTGCAATGCGGCATTTTCATTCGATTGGTCAAAGGCAACTGCAACGAGTAATTTCGCGCAACTCGGGCAAATCTCATGACTGCAGCGCATGCGCAGGAATATTCCGCTGCAGCCACAACAAACTCTTTGGGTAGGAGGGGAGCAGGCCAGCTGTTACAGCTAGTTACCTCTCGTATTAAGTTACGGTAGAAGAAGTCAGTATAGGGAGGTATTTTTGGAGGTGAAATGTCTAATCACTGCTTAATCGGAAATGCTTCGTCATGACGGGTCACCAGGCCTCTGCGGAGCGACCGGTTGAAAGTGCACTTGAGGTTAACATTAGCAGCTGTGTCATGGCAAGTCCGTCTTTTGTAATTAGGAATCAAATAACACACTTTTTTTAGGTTGGTAGGCACACACATGCCGTAGGTTGGTGCAACTGCGGTGGCACAATCGACCGTACTGGAGCCCCGCCACAGCACCAGACGCATACGTCGGAACCTCTGTTAAGCTGTAATTGAAAAACCCATTAGAAAGCAACTGTAGCAGATGCACTTCTGGTTTTTAAGGAAGGCTTGATTAACTTATACCATTCCAGAGATGAAATCGCTTTTTACCTGGGCCGCGTTTGCGGCTGCGGCCGCCATAGAGCAATGGCGCTTTGCAACTGCCTTTAGGCACGCCGGCAGGGGACACCGAAATATGCGGAGCTCCAAAGCAGATGATTTAACACCTATTGGTGGGCTAAAATGAGCTCGATACAGGAGCTGTTGGCCACTCTGCATATGCTCTACTGGAGTGACTTGCCATGCACGGAATGGCAAAAGTCTCGAAAACAAGCACAGCTGCTGTCTGAGAACAACATTAGCATCGCTTGAAAATAGCAGCGAACGTGCACAGTTGTAGCTTCGACCTCCTCGGCTGCTACCGCATTCCTCAGAGACTGTCGATGACAAATATTGCAAGTCTACAATAAACACGTGGCGCAAGACTATTCTTTCAACAGCTGAAGAATTCAAAGAGCTCGCCAATGCAGATCCGGCTGCTGACATCACTGCTTTCCTCGCCGCAAATGAGTGCAGTGCATTGCGGTCTGGAAAGTTCAACCATATCGTAGGTCCACTGGTGAAGAGCAGGACCCTGTAGCCTATCACGAGAATAATAGTGTTCGTTTATTGCCAATCGTTGTTTGTAGCGAGTAGTATTGTATTAAAGAAGAATGGGTAGCTTTGTAGTAAAGAAGAATGAGGCTGACTAGTGGAGGTAGTGGGAGATGGGGCACAAGCGAAGAAAATAACGAGCTGGGTGGCATTGTGCAGGCAGCAGAAAGCGGAGACAGTAAGATATTTGTGATTACGGCTGCAAAAGCAGAGGCAGCCGACGCAGATATGACATGCCAAGAAGCTCTCCAGCAGTGGGAGAGTGGGTACGAGGCCTTCAAGTACGTGTAGCACAGAGGGGCGTCGTCTACCGCGGCGTTTCAAAAGTACACAAGCTTACGGATGATTATTTGTCTTTCATGAAAAGTTCCAAAATGGATAAAGGCAGCTTTCTGTACGTGCAGAGGGCAAGATCCTCCAGTGTACGCAGACAATACAGGGACGTACGAAGATCCCAATGCTGCGGCTCTTGCGAGCTTATTGAGCGACAAGGCACAAAGCATCTACTGTGGGACTGCAACAGAGTGTGGAGAAAATCCCCCCATCGTCTGTTACATCAAGCCTTCCGGAATAGAAGCTGTCGCAAGTCCAGTAACGTGAGCTCAAAACGGCATGCACAATGAAGGCCTTTTTTCAGTGGCGCACGAAGTTGCTGGGGTACTAAGTATTGCGGGTAGCCTACTTGCCAAAAACCCTCGCGTGTTGCCTGTTGGTCTTGATCCCAAAGGAGAGAATAAAAGGCCCACAAATATCATAAATTTTGGCGTTCAACGTGCAGAATCCTTTTGAGCCAATGGTTTTTTAAGTCCAGCAAGCGGTTTACGTGTTTGTAATGGCTGCAGCCGTCGGATGTGGCACAAGTACGATGAATACAAGAAGACAAAGCCCGTCTTGAATGCGCATGGTAGGATGCATTTGCAAGATCAATGTGGAACCCACATGCGGGGGAAAACGACGTCATTTCACGTGACTGCCTTCGGCTCTCATGTTGTGCAGACAGCCAGGAGTGCGTGGATGCGGTGAATGCCGTGAGAAGTGCCGAGGACCTGAATCTAGCTTTATTCACTGCAGCAAAAACTGAAGAAGACGAAGTAGAAGAAAAGAGCGCAGCCGAAGCTACGGCATACGAGAATGCCCTGTACGCGCTGACCTGTGAACAAATCAACAAATCAACGATCGAGCCGGTAGTGAGTTATCCACCTCTAAGCAGGCTGCAACGTGGCTGCTGCACTTTCTCAAGTCCTCTCGGCCTCCTTAGGGCAGTAGCAACTTCTTGAAGTGTTCCAGCACGGAACTACTTTGTGCGATTCCCGAATGAATTTCATGGCTTGCCTGGGTGCTACTTAGCGTTGTCGGTTGCAGGCAAGTGATGTGCAATGGTTCAATTTCTTGTCAGGTCGGGGCCAAGTACACGCTAATCTACTATTCCAAACAAGGTGGAACAGTGATGAAGCCGTCACATTCTGGCAAACTGGACTTGAGCAACTGGGGTCAGTCAACGTCCCCTAAGCTACCAGCCAGTAGTGGTAGTGGATTCTTTGGCGCTGTGCAACCAAAAAGCTAGAAAATACGCTGAGTCGTGAGATGCGTTTCTGTGACTGCAAGTACTTGCGGCAGCAATGAACCACGAATTGCTTCTCACGCTTCTCTATCATTGTCAAGCGAAGACCCGTTTCTCCTCAAATCCTTCATTTCACTAGGTCCTACGAACAATTTGCTGTGTGCAGTGAAGAGCGTCCTCCTACATTCCAGCCTAAAAGTGCACTCCTGAAGCGGACCCGTCGCGCAAGAGGCTCAGAAGGGACAGGCACCGAAATCTACTACAAAAGCGAAGTAGCCGGCTACGTCTCAATGATGGCTGACGAGGCTCGCGAAATGAGATGTTACGATGCCACTGGTTGCACAAACTCTGCGCTCATTTGCTTTCTTAGCGAGCCGACACTAGTTCAGGGTGAACAGCCTATCAGGTACGTCACAACGCTAGCCAAACAAAAACCACTACATGAGCTCATATTCGCTCCCCACTACAGTTCCCTTACTCCGTTCTTGTGGATAAGAGGGTCCAAGCAGTTTTCTACTTTTTTGCACGTTGTTTAAATCGGTAATCCGTCTGCCGAGTGGTGCTGTTCAACACTTGGATGGAATCCTCTCGATAATGCTAAATCGCTGCTCAGTTGGTGCTTGCAAAAACGTAAACTCACAGCTATGTTTGAGGCAAGCTTGCAGATAAAAAACATTGCGTTTGTGTGGGCAGCGAGGAAACATGGGGGAAAATTACTGGCGCAGATAAACCCGACACTGAACCTGAGCCCACCCCCGCAACTATCACCTTCACCAGGCTTGGTATGGCAATGGCGCACTTGCGGTGGAGCTCTGTAATGCACTGAACGCATTACCCATCAGGCTTAACTTCAGAGAGTGGCAGCACATTTGTGTTTTCGGCCAAGTAACTTTCCGAAATGTGGTACTGGTGCTAGCGGATCTCTCATTACACACATAATTCGTTGTGAAGGGGGACATCGCCAAGCAATTAGGAAATGCAACAAGCGCATCGTCTGCTTTCTCGATCCATGTTGCACTAGTGGAAGATAAGAGCTGTGTCAAGGAGATTAACGGCTTCCGCACGCAAGAAACCCTGGGCTTGAAGGGTTTCACAGAAGCCAAGGCCAGTTCGAAAGCAACAAGAAACACACAGCTTAGCGAGCCCATGAGTGGCGTGACTTGCGACGCTCTCAAGAATGGAACTGTTACGATTATGGTGAGCTGCTCACGAGCTTCGTTTCATCACGTCTTGGCCATGCGCATAGTAACTTTGAACAGCTTCCTCTTTGTACCAGTTTTGGTTGCAAGACGCTTCACAAAGCGCCACCGAAACGGCAAACATCGATATTTTGTGCATTTCCTACCTCGTCTGATGTCAGACGAGGTAGAGAGTGTCAAGTTTCCCTGTTTCGCCCTCCTTTTCTCATCACAGGACCAAAAGATGACAAAGAGCTTGATGTACTACTCTGGCACTGAAGCCACTTGCTCCGTTGCTGTTGCCGCCTGGAAGAAGGGCTATGAACAATTCAGGTGGGGGTTCTGTCACGCAAAACATCGACCCTGTTTTCGCAGCACATTGGGACATAACAACACAGCAGCTGCTGCCCCGCTCCCTGTGCCCATAACGATGGCGTAGCTCTCTTTATGAACTGTGTGTGTTGCTCAGCGCAATCCCACCAGCTTACACCACCAGCGAGGCTGTTTACAAAAAGGGTGATGCAACGAACTTCGTCTCCCTCATCAGCGAAGGGGAGAGTACCACAGCCACCTGCTACAGTGTTGAGGGCTGCGACCAGCGAGCTATCGTTTGCGAGCTCTCACCTGCAGTCTTCACGAAGGATAAAGCACCCATATCGTAGGCAATACCGTGCTTGCAGGGGCTTTGTGGTCCTTTTTTTGTGAATTTGAAGCACCTCACGATTGCAATTGTACTTTTGAGCCTCTTGTACACCTACAGGAAAGAGCCTCTTGGGAACTGCTACCATGTTCTTTTCCCTGAGTAAAAGATAACAGGGGCCACACTTATTACAGTACCCTTATGTTCAGTTATCAGTTCTGTGAGAAACTCATTTGTTCCATTTATGCTGAAACTTGGCCTTTGTTTGCTTTCAGCGAGAGCACCTGGAAAAAGGTTACTCAGACGATGTCACAAGGTAACAGCGCACCAGTTTCTTTCTCCACTGGCCTGCTTAGCACCGCCCTGATAGTGGCTGTTGCCTTTGCATTCAACTCCTAAGTGAACGCACTACTAATAAGAGAAGACATGAAGGCGCTCTCATCGCAGCTTTACAACGGGAACATCTTTGTCCTAGACCCATCTTAATTACACTTTGTTTGTGAAGGATCGGGCCTTCTGTGGTATCTCCGGAAGCTGCAGCATCGTTCTTTACAGCATTATTCCTTAGACGCCGCTAGACCTAGCACTGCAAGGTAATCTTGCACAAGAATCTTAGCACAATTTAGCATTTGAAATAGCTCGTTGACGTCTATAGCATGAAAGACTAGGTTGTTTTAAACACTTTAGAATCCGAAGTAGTGAAACATAAAAAGTGGCGGGCACAGCGAGCGTGTCATGCTTATGAGTCAATTAAGGATGATGACCAAATAGCCATCCCTACACGAGACGATCCTGAAAGCTGCAGTGGCGCGCTCGGCTTGCACAGCCTCCCAAGAGGTAATACAATTGGCCTATTCATGGCAGCAAGGTTAGCTGCTAGGATCTCTGTAAGCGTGCTACCGAAGGAATCTCTTCTCTGGCGGGTTACAGCACAGTTCGACAAGAAAAGTCGTCAGTACGAAGCAGAACCAATCGACGTAAAAAAAGGCAAAAAAACTAATACTAGACGTTTCACACACGCATTTCTACTTCTGTACCAGCAAAGTGCATTCTGTGGAATATTAGGCATGTAATAGAACAAAAATGGGGTGGAGTGGAAGGCATATATCTCAAAATGCAAAATATGTCTGATTTCGAGTTAAAAACCCGTAGCCTCTTGCAAAACACTTGGAAATAGCCCGTTTTTATCAGCCATTTCATGTATTTGTAGCCGAGTATTTTTATTGACAGCTTGCATCTAGTTCTAACAATTTGTGCTGGCCTGCCGGATGCACGGGCTACTGCTGGCAATCATATGCGAGTGAAGGGCTTTTTGAGAACCTACAATAAAAGCCCCGCTCGTTCGATATCACAAATCACGCTGAAACATCCTGCATTGCAGCCTTGAAGAGTTTTTTAATTGAACAAATCCACATGGACCCGAAATCAAAATTAGCAGAGGGCTTGATGTGACGCGTCCCCAAAGCAAAGAGGCATGAAAATTCATGGCTAGGCAGGACGGGTTTGATTTCACAGCTGGGACTCGTTATTAAATTGCAGCACTTCAATCAATTGTAACCCTTCAAAATTGCATTCTCTTGCTGCTATTTGGTTTCAAGTGGACGTTTTCACTTTCAGTTTCTAGCATTCCGACTTGAGCAGCGCCTATCACGGCGTCTGGAGTTAGAGAGTACAAGTAGCCCTGTATTTTGAACTCATTTGGCCAGTATTCTTCGACGCGCAAAGGAACGTCTGGGTTCGGTGTACGCCTCTTGCATTTCATCTCATTATTTTGCTTTGGAAATCGAAGTTATTCGCAATATTTTGTGCACTACTTGGAGGAAGGCTAGCCAAATGCGAAAAAAAAGCTTTAACCGCTCATGCAAACGGCATTTACAGACCAGAATTCCCAATAAAGAGTCAAAGAGCAAAACTTAGCTTGAGGCGCTGCACAATGCGAACAGGGCCCACGTGAGTTGACAAAGCAGAGTCTTCCATGCCTGGAACGTGGGAAATTATGGCATCATTAGCTCAAATGTCTCAATAGAGGACAGAATTACCTTTATTGTAACGGGTGCATGCCACTTTGCTAGCACTGCAAGTTGAGATGCAGCTGCGTTCTGGCTAGAATGCAAATGCGCAGTAGTAGAGCATCAAGTTGCATTTCTTGTGGACACTACTACGCCTGTGCAGCTCAACCTTGCCAAGGCCACTTTTTGCGTTGAAACTAAGAAGCGTTTTGTAGTCGCTTGTTGTTGAAACTAAGAAGCGTTTTGTAGTCGCTTGTTTCCGAAGGCCAGCCTTCTGGATCATTCTATATGCGGGACACCGCTGTCCAAATTCTCATCGGGCTGAGCCGTCAGCTACAGATCTTTTGGGCACAACGGCTTGCGGCAAAAGCGAACTTCAAAATGAGCCTCAGGCGAGTATAAATGTCAAAAGTAGATTTTAGTGCAACAGACGTACGAGCGAAGGGTCTCCACTTTACGGTAGCTCATGTTTACAGGCAACAGCCAATATGCTCTATTCAATGACAGAGAGTCATGAAAGGACCGGCAGCAGCTGTTGCAACTCAGAATACAATCGATATGCCCGGCTGAAGTTCACGAGCAAGGCCAACTTCACGATTTATACTCCTATGGATTCTTGCGCTAGAGTAAAATCATAAGTAGGGAAATCGATGACTCGCAGACAAGTTCAAAAGTGTTTAAATGCAAGAAACATGAACACATGGGACAAGAGTACAGTTACAGATGAGCTCGAACCTGTACGCGAACCTGACCGCAACTCGCGTATCTACACTTTCGCAATACTCGGTAGGGCAGCGCCACACCTACGGTGAACATCTAGAGTGCGGTAGTCTTCTTGTCAAGCACTGACCACACTACACACAGCTGCAGCACGTTAGCCGTATCCTGCTTTGCAAAAGTAACTCGCCATGGTGAGGTCCCTGTATCACCTAGTCTCCCATCGGATACACAGTTGCTCGGCACATGGAACAACAAGGAGCTAGAAAAAGTCAGCGAACGTGTCGTGTTTTTCGCCTATTTGTGCAGCAGCGGAGGGAGATATGTCGAGCAAATCAATGAGCTCCGCGCACAACAAAGCCTCGGCCCGGAAGCTCCTGTTGAAGCCGAAGCTATTGCGAAAACAATCAGAAGCAAAGAGCCCAGCATTCTCTTTTGACGCGTTTTGTGAAGCTTTTGAGACCGGCACTGCTGCAATCATGGTGATGCTTTTAGCAGCAACGTTTGTGAGTGCCACTTCATTGCTTCATTCAAGTTCTCGATACAGCCATCTTTTGCCTGTAGGGACGCTTTTCGTAAACTGAAACCTATATGTAACCATTTTGAGTTTTGGCGTATTCCTAGTGGTAATTCGGTTCGTGCTATAGGCCTTCGCAGATGAAGACGTACTCGGAGGCCACAAGTGATATCTGTGCGCTAACTCACGATCTCCTGCTTTCCAATGTTTTTGGAGTTTAAATGAGCTAGCTGTGCTTAATGGCTGCTTGACGAGTTAGCAGGCACTTCAACGGTATGAAGCCATGCGTCTGCAAGTACCTGCCTAGGAAGAATGTCTTTAATTACCTGATTGGCCTCTGAATTTATGACGCAACGTCCGTTTCGCCAGAAGAACTTTTAAAATATATTGAACTACGCTGCCAGGCGTCTTCTGTGCAATCTGGCTGAAAAACTATTTCGAGGCGCAGGGCGCAAGGAGATGTTGGCTATACAGAGCGGCGAGCCTGTATACTGAAGGTGACATGAAAAGACATGATATTTGCAAAATCACGCTACATATGAGTTTAGCGCTATGCACAATAAAATGTAAACTGCATCTACAGCGACGACCTGCCGCACCGCACACGAATTGGCGGCATCATAGCATGTGGCTGGTAGCAGGAAAAACAGCATCTAGGCGGCATGAAGACTGCCTGAGCTTTTTCTATCTTCTGTCTTTCTTTGCGGGATAAGGTACTACAAGCATGCATTAAAGTTGCGTTGTATCCTATTCACGCACCGCTTCGGCATGCTTGTACACTAATATCTATGAATGAGCCGTTTTGATTTGCCGTGGAAAAGCTGCTTGATACTGCTACTGATCTGGGAATTCCGCTTGAATGTTTCCGAATGCCAGGGGCAAAGCTAGCATGCGCTTCTGTTGTGAGACGCTTATGCTTTGTAGCTCTTTTACAGACATGCAAGTCGTACTCCTTTTTTGGGAATGCGTGCCTTTTCTAACTTGGTGGCTTGCTAGGTGTTTTACAATCAAGACAATGAGGCCGCCTCCTCCGTTGTTGTTAAATCATCGAGGGATGAGCGGGATTCATTTCAGCATGCTTTATAGCATTTGATGCCGAGTGCAGTGCACTGCTACTTCATCTCTACCAACCTGAAACTCGGCGCAGCAACATACACTGCAGCAGGATCCATCTACGCAAGTGGGCCGGAGCCGTCTATCTTGCTTTACCCTAGACTCTGCGTGTACGTTTCATCAAATTATTTCTTCCAGTATACGCCTCTACTCAATCTTGGCACAAATATCTGTTCTGTGATGCGCAACAGTCGTCCCAGCAATTTCTCCAATAATTCTATTTAAGTCAGTACAACTGCAACATATGCGAAGATGACGCAAACCCACAAACTGCGAACTCAAGCCTCTAAAAGGCGCAAAGGTAACAAAGTAAAATTTGTCAACGGTCCAGCTGATGCCATGTTCACTACGTGTTTCAATCAATTTCCTGAACCTTGAGCGTTTCAGTTTCGTCTGGAGAAAGACTGTGGTGAATGTGCATGACGCCTAACTGATTTCTTGGCAGCAGCTGATACGCCTCGTGTGTGCAGCCAGAAGCATCTATGCCAATTTTTGCCAGCTATCACACCAAGTCCAGATAAATTAGTTACCTGACCTGTGCAGCAAGTCTATTGGGTTTTTCTCCTCGAAAGCCGAATATTCCCAGATTAGGCTGCAGCTGTATGCTTTAGCTGCACAATCTGGTATCAGAGAGAGGCAAAAATGTTGCGAAAACTTTAGACAAAATAGAAGTCCTCGATTTCTCTTCTTTTCCTCCACAAAGTTTTGAAATGCACCAGCGCAGGCTTGCATATGAGCGACTCAAATTCCAGTGGATTGGCAAATACCCACCTCACTCACTGGTTACGTTAGAAGTCCTCTCTGTTAATACAAATAGATACACCAGGATGCCATCGACCTTCGACCTAGGCTCACACTATAGCTGCACATCGTCATGGGAAATTTTATCTTCATAACTTCAAGTCTCATTATAAAGTCAAGCCTATTTTATGGTGCGTTCTGCATATTGCAGCATTCATAGGATGCGACGCCTAATCATGGGATGTTTTTCATCCTTGCTGGTAAATCCGTTTATCAACTTCCTGTGCTGTAGAGTGCTGAAGTAACGTCAAGAATTAAGCGCTGCTCTTTGGTTTACTGCTGTCATTGCCCCTGTACCGTTTACAAATCACACGGCGTGCGAGAAGAACCGATAACACTTTTTCCTTGAGAGCGGTTCTGGTAATTCGTCACGAAAAGGTTTGTAAGATAATTCTAGGAAGCGTGATGCGCTGCGTTTGCCATCTTCAGGAGAAATCGGTGCATGGGAAAATCTATTTCACAAAACACACACACACACACGTAAATAACTGTTCATATTAGCAGTACACATGCGCTCAGCAAGTTGCTTCACTGCTTCGATTAAGTGATGAGCTAGAGCTTTCGCGGATCCATATGTTTGCGAGTTGAATGCTAGGAATACTGTAATAAAAATAAAGTGAACTAATTAAAAGAGCCCATACTTCATCCAGTGACGCAGCTGACAGGTCACCTCGTCAAGTTACGCTTGGGTTTATTCTGGTGTTGCCTTTTTCAACTTTCTGAAACTGCAGGTGTGATCACAGCGCAGCGGGATGAAATGGAGCCACGCCATCCATTTATGGAACAATGTAATCAGAAGGCAGCAAAATAACAGAAAAAGAGCAGCAGTTGGTAGCGTGCAGCTCTTAGCTATATCCAGCTCTCCGTGTGCTGCACTGCAGCACTACGCTGCGCCACAGACACACGGCCTATTCCAGGAGCTCAGCAGCACTGTGGGGCCCCACGGAGGGCCCTCAGGCAGCAGCAAACCTGCAAAATCCTGCTGTGCAGCAAACGCATGCAGGGTATCACGTTGAAACTGCTGGTGTATCCCGCGGCCGCCGATACATTCACATTACAGAGGCGCGGACACTCTCCCTGGGCCCCACTGTTGGCTCTGTCTCTGAAACCTCTACAAATATATTTATTTGGGATGTTTGAATGAAACAAGGGAGCGGCGAGACTGCGAGAAAGCCGCTGAAGCCCTCGCCGGGGCACTTGCTGCTCAGGATCGGCAGCCACGGGGCCCCAGAGGGCCGCCGAGAAAGCTGCAAAGAAATAGAGCCTACAAGATAACTCAACTTTCACAAGCTTTTAGACAACACAGCTTTCACCACTATTGCTGGGGCTCTATCGAAAGTTGCTGGGGGGCCCCCGGCGCTGCTCAGCAGATCTAGAGTGCTGGGAGGCCCAAGTGGACACCTGCTGCTGCATGCAGAATGCCTGCCGTTTAAATTGAATTAACTCGCGTTTAACACGGATTTGGTGTTTTTTGCGACGATAAGACACAGATATTTTGGTGTCCTTGCCGCAAGAAGAGTGCTAACATAGCAGCAGCAACAGCAGGAGCAACAGGTGTTAATGAAATAGAGCAGATAGCTACTTCTTCGAGGGAAACATGTACAGGTTCAGGTCCACGCACACTGAAATGAATTATCGTTCCTTCTAAAGACATGGAACGTCCACAAAAGCCGCCAGAACATATCGGCGGTTGCAGTTACCACCGGTCTACCGAGGCAGCAGCTCTAGGTGCTGCAGCAGTCGCAGCAGCAAGATAGACTTTATGAGGTGAGTAGAGCTGCTGCCACCACAACTGGCAGCAGCAAGATATCCGCTAGCAGAGGTTCCTCTGCATTTGCCACACCTGAGAGGTACGCGGCGCAGCAAAAACGCGGTGCAGGAGCAGCAGCAGCAGCAAGCAGCAGCGGCAGCAGCGACAAGAGCAGCAGACAGATCCTCGCAGCAGCAGCAGCTCCGGAACGGAACGCATTATGTCCCACGAGCTCTTGTCTCCGCAGGACGCTGCGGCCTCTGCTGCAGCAGCTCGCAGCAGCCCGTGGGCTCCTCCCCGGCTCGTTGTTGACCCGGTGCAGCAGCAGCAGCAGCTGCAGCGGCGGCAGCAGCAGCGGCAGCAGGAGCAGGCGCTGCTGCCAAGGCAGGCCCTTCCATTTGCAGTGCGCGCCCTGCGCTGGTGGTACGAGCTGTCCCTCTGCCCCTGCAGGAGGCGGGAAGAGAGGGCGCTGCAGCAGCAGCAGCAGCAGCAGCGGGGCCCGTTTGGCTTGACGTACAGCGCGCTGTGGCGGGCAGCTGACCGAGCGCTGCTTTGGCTGGTTTGCTGCAGCCTCTTTGCTGCTGCTCTCTTTGCCGTTTGCTGCTTCGGGGAATATGCAACTCTCCAGAGATATATATTTGAAGAGACAGACATGGTTCTGAGTGTGGGGCCCGGGGTCTGGCTGCTGCTGCTGCTGCTGCAGGCGCTCTACGCGCTGCTGCTGCTGGGCGCGGGCCGCCGGCTGCAGAAGCAGGGGCTGCAGCCGCGCCTGGGAGGGGCCCATTGGTTGCTGCTGTCTCTTGTGCTTGCTGCTGTTGCTGCTGCTGCTGCTGCTGTCGCCAAGCTTTCCCCCCAGCACTTCTGGGGGGTGCGGCTGTGGCTGCAGCTGCACCTGCCGCTGCTGCATGCTGCTGCTGTTCCTGCTGCTACGGTCGCCTTCTGCTGCGTCCTCAAAGCAGCAGCAGCGGCGCTGCCTCCTGCTGCAGTGGCTGTAGACGTGGAAGCTCCTGCTGTTGCCCACGAGGTCCCGCTGCTGCTGCACGGGGCTTCTACTGCAGCAGCAAGCAGCAGCAGCAGCAACAACGCGCCACCAGCAGCACCAGCAGTGGGGCTGCTGCCGGGCCTTTCCTTTTCTGCAGCACAGCAGCAACCCCAGAGAGCCATAGGCAGCATTCATAGCGTCCACAGCAGCAGCAGCAGCAGCAGCATTCGGTATAGCCGCAGCAGCGAGGGCTGCCCCTTGTCCCTCAAGTGCATGCGCGTTTGGCTTACAATTCTGCTGTCTGCTGCTCTGTGGCTGCTGCTGCTGCTGTCCCCTTTCCTAGGGCCGGGTGGCTTCGGCTCTCCCTGCATTTTCAAGCAGCCGCCGCTGCAGCAAGGGGTGCTGGCAGCGCTCTACAGCAGCAGCAGCAGCAGCACAGGCAACTGCTTTGACAGCAGCGCGAGAAGGAGCGTGTCAGAAGGCTCAGAAGGTCCTTCGACGACAGCAGAAGGGCCTGCGCCGCGTCAGAGCAGCAGCAGCAGCAACAGCAGCAGCAGCAACAGCAGCAGCAGCAGCAGCAGCAGCAGGGACGGTTGCCTTACTGAGTCCAGCTGGAGGGACCGCAACAGCAGCAACAGGAACCGAAGCAACACTACCGCCATCAGCAGCAGAAGGTTAGGTGAGGCTCGGCCTTCAAACTCTGCTGCTGCTGCAGCGCCACTAACTGTGCGTGCAGCAGCAGCTGCTGCTGCAGAACCAGAAGCCGCTGCACCGGCAGTTGCTGCTGCTGCTGCTGCGCCTGTGGAAGAAGCAGCAGCTGCAAGGCCGGCTGTTGCTGATGAACAGCCTGACGTTCTTAGTGGAGCTGTGGCTCCAGCAGCAGATTTACAAGCAGCAGAAGCAGCACCAGTAGCAGCAGCAGCAGCAGCATCAATTGCATCAGCAACGGGAGAGGCAGCAGCACCAGCACCAGAAGCACCTACTGCAGCAGCAGCGGGGGAGGCACCAGCAGCAGCAACATTTCCAGCAGCAGCAGACTCAGAAGAGGCGGCACCAGCGGCAGCAGCAGTCCCAGCCACAGCAACTGACCCAGCAGCAGATGCTGCTCCAACAGCAGCAACAGCAGCAGCGCCAGCTGCAGCAGCAGCAGAGATGGCTAGCAGCTACACCAGCGAGTCTTGGCTGCCTCCCCGCCCCATGTTGATGGGACTAAAGGGCCTTCCTCTTTTACGGCCCGAAAACACTATGTAGGTGGCCCCTACACTGCTGTTGCTGCTGCTGCTTCTGCTGCTGCTTGCGCTGCTTGCTGCTGCTGCATTTTCTGCTGACTGTGGTATTGCTGGTGCTGTCTTCCGCTGCTGCTGTTTCTGCTGCTGCTGTTTCTGCTGCTGCTTTTGCCAGTCTTCTTGGTACTGTAGCTGCTGCTGCTGTGTCAGCTGCTGCTGTTTCTGCTGCTGCTTCCGTAGTTTTTGCCGCTGCAACAACGGCCGCTGCTACTGCTGCTGCTGCTGCAGCAAAGGCGTATCCAGGGTTTCTGCTGCGTGCTTAGGGAGTCCTTCCGGGCAGCTCGAGAGGCGGGCGCTGCTGCCTTTGCTACTGACGTTCACATAGCAGCTAGCCACACATTATTCTTGTTTGTGAGCTGCAGCAGCAGCTGCTGCTGCTGCTTCTATCGTTGTTGCTGCTGCTGAGGCCTGCGCTGCTGCTAAATCTGCTACTGCTGCTGCTGCTTCAGCTGAGTCTCAGACAGAGGGGCGGTACTCTTACTTCAGGGCGATTGACTGTGGCTGACGCTTAGTGACTCTGCATGCTAGCTGCTGCTGCTGCTGCTGCTGCTGCAGAGCGACAGCACATTTGCGCGCATGACGGACGCCTCTCGCGTGTTTCCTGCTGCTGCCACAGCCCCTGTTGATCTCTTTGCCTGGACAGACATTGTGGCGCTTAATCCGGGGGCCTGGTGGATCGAGGTGAGACTGCTGCTGTTGCTGCTGCTCCTGCTGCAGCTGCTGCTGCGAGTTTGCGTGCTTTGAACCTTGCTGCTGTCGCTTCGATTCCTGCCGTGTGCCCTTTTTCGACCCGCATCCCTTGCACATGGTGGGGGGCTAATTCAGGTGCTGCTGCTGCTGCTGCTCGCTTTCACCAGTTTTGCTGCTGCTGCTGCTGCTGCTGTTGCTGCTGCTGCTGCAGCGAGACATATATGGCACTGTCTCCTCCATCGACGTGGAAACTCGCGAGACCATTGCAGAGCAGCGTAAGTCCAGACACGAGCACCCGCAGCAGCAGCAGCAGCAGCATGTAGCGCAGCAGCAGCCGCAAAAGCAGCGGCCACCGCAGCAGCAGCAGCAGCAGCAGGCACCTGCGTGTGCTGCGCGTGGGGTCTCAGGCATTGCTGCTTTGAAGGAGCTGCTGGCATTTTGTGTTTGCGAAAAAGTTCCAATTTTAATTTCTCTTTTTTGTCCTTCTTGTTCTCTAAATGCTTTCGACTGCGGCCCAAATTGCCCTTCGCTCTTATTTGCTGCTTTCAAGGACGCCCACGCGCAGCAGCTGCTCTGGTGGAGCGGCGCAATGAGGTCACACCTCCTGCTGCTGCTGCTGCGGCTGCTGCTGCGGCTGCTGCTGCTGCTGCGCCTGCTGCTGCGGCTGCTGCTGCTGCTGCGCCTGCTGCTATGGCTGCTTCTGCTGCTGCTCCTGTGGCTGCTGCGGATGCGGCTGCGGCTTCTTTTCTGGTTTTCATTGATCCTGCTGCTGCTGCTGCTACTGCTGCTGCTGCTTGCTGGGTCCCGGCCAGCGCTAGTTCTGCTGTTCGTGGTGTTGCTCGAGTTGCTTCTAGCCCTGGCGCTGCTCTTGCTGCCGCCGCTGTGGCTGCTGCCTCTGCTGCTGCTGCTGCTGCTGAAGCGCATGCAGCAGCTAACTGCTTCTCTGTGTGCTGCAGAGAGGAAGTGCGAAAATCTCTTCCGGAGGCGAAGCTCGTCACGGAGATCGATCCCTCATTTGAAGACGATCCCAGCAAGAGTGGGGAGAACTGTTTGCTGCTGCTGCAGCTGCTGCGGCTGCTGCTGCTGTGGCTGCTGCTGCTACTTTATTGGATGCCCTCAATGCTTTTTTCGCCGTCGCTGCTGCTGCTGCTGCTGCTGCTGCTGCTGCTGTTTGTTGTTGATGCCAACTTTAAGCGCCCCTCGAGCAGCAGCAGCCACAGCAGGAGCACGGTGCCTGGCAGGACAGGACTGCTGCTGCCTCTGCAGCAGCAGAAGCAGCAGCAGCTGCTGCGGCCGTTTCTGCTGCTGCTCATGCTTCACGTATTGTTGCTGGTGGAGTTGCTGCTGCAGTGACAGATATAGTAAGCGCTCCATGGACAGATCTAGAGGCCTCACGCGTTCGAGACCTGGCGCAGAAGGGTAAGCAGCACAGCTATGCTAGCAACAGCAGCAGCAGCAGCAGCAGCAGCAGCAGCAGAAGCAGCAGCAGCAAAGGGGAGAGTTGTGTCAGCTGCTTTGCAGGCCTTCGCATGCTGCTGGGGTGCTCAGCAGCAGCGCAGCGAACAGCAGGCTGGTCTGTGCCTGCGTGCACGCGCACAGTACTGCTGCTGCTGCTGCTGCTGCTGCTGCTGCTGCAGGATACCACGTCCATTGTTCTGCTGCTGCTGCACCTTGGCAGCTGTCCTACTTGTGGTGCAGCGGAGTCCACTCTGTGGGCAGTGAGGCGCTGCATGCGCTGGGGGCCCTCGAGGCACCCCTGTATCACTTGAACTGGCCGCAGTACACGAGTGAGCTGCTGCTGCTGCTGCTGCTGCTGCGTACTCCTATTAGTAGCGCCAAAACGACTGCTGCTGCTGTTTGCTGCTGTTCCTGTTGCTGCTGTTCTTTTTCTACTTTCCCCTGTTCTTATGGCTGCTGTTGCTGTTGCTGCGTCTTTTTTAACGCTGCTCCCGTTCGCTGGTGTTACTGCTGCTGCTGCTGCTGCTGCTGCTGCAAGCGGCGGTGCGGCTGCGAGCAGCTGTGCTTCTGCTTCGCATGTGTCTTTCTGCTTCTGTCTCTGTTATAAATGTTTTTCTTTTTCTCTTTCGGATTTAATTGTCCCTTTAGGCTGTCTTCCCTTTTGTTTGTTTTCTTTATGTCTTTGCTGCTGCAAGTGTTTTCCTTGGTGTCTCTTCTGCTGCTTGCCCTAAAGAGCAGCTCCTCTCGGCTGCTGCTGCTATTGCTGCTGCTGTTGCTGCTGCCTGTCTCCTTTTTGCTTTTGTTTGCGTCTCTCTGGGGCCCCTATTTGTCTCTATTTTTAGTGCCCATCTCCTTAGCTCCTTTCTGGCCCTATCTTAAGTCTCATTCTGCTGCTGCTGCTGCGGCTGCTGTGCTGCTGCTGCTGCAGTTCTCGTTGCTTGCCTCGACTTTGCTGCCGTCGCTCTTGCTTCGGCGTTTGTGGGGTGGCTGCTCTGGCAGCGGAGGGCCAGGCCCCCAGTAACTCCAGAGTGACCCGCCGTTGCTGCTGTTGCTGTTGCTGCTGCTGCTGCTGCTGCTGCTCAGCCGGCAGCAGCAGCAGCAAAAGTCTTAGCAGCTGCTGCTGCCCACCCCACAGGCTCAGGGCTGCAGCAGCCATTCACAGATTCTACATTAGCAACATTCGTAGCCAGCGCCGGCTTTGTGCAGCAGCAAGCAGCAGCAGCAACAAGCAGCAGCTAGCTGCACCTACCTGCTGCAGCAAGCAGCAGCAAGCTGCTGCTTACTGCTGCTTGCTGCTTAGAGCAGGAGCAGCAAGCTGCTGCTTACTGCTGCTTGCTGCTTAGAGCAGGAGCAGCAAGCTGCTGCTTACTGCTGCTTGCTGCTTAGAGCAGGAGCAGCAAGCTGCTGCAGTATGAAGCAGAAGCACGATGCAGCAGCAAGGATTTGCAGTGAGCAACGGCAAACTGCTGCAGCAATTGGCAGCAGCAAACAGCAGCAGGCTGTCAACAAGCAGAAGCAGGCTGCTGCTGCACGTAGTAGCAGCAGGCGGTAGCTGCAAGCAGCAGCAAGCAGCAGCAAACTATTGCTGCTTTCCGTTGGAAGCAGCAGCTTGGCTCTGGAAAGGTTTTCTACTTCTGGTGTACAGACAGCTCGGATCCTTCCAGTTTCTCCAGTTTTCAAATTAGGGGAAAAAACTCATTTAAAGAACAAAGCAGCAAACCAACAACTGCTTAGGTTCTAGGGTTTGGGGTTTAGGGTTTAGGGTTTAGGGTTTACAAACACTGTCGGTGTGGGACAGCCCTGAGGCCCACGAGACGCCAGTCGTCCGCGGCGAGTTGTTTCGCCAAACTAGGGTTTAGGGTTTAGGGTTTAGGATCTGAGATTTAGGGTTTATGGTTTCGAGGAGCGATCAACGCAAAAAAGTCCGTGCAGACTTGGTGGTGCTGCTGCTGCTGCTTCCCGAGACTGCCAGTACCTTGCCCCACTGGTGTGCAGCAGCAGCAGCAACAGCAGCAGCTGAAGCCGCGCAAGGCAAGATAACTAATACTTTATATTACACAACGGAAGCAAAGCAACAGAATTGGGGTTTAGACACTAGGGCCTAGGGTTTGGGGTTTAGGGTTTAGGGTTTGGGGTTACTTCCCCCCTGGAGACACCCCGAGGCCCTCCCCAAGCAGCAGCAGCAGCAGCAGCAGTTAGCAACAGAAGCAGCTACAAGTGTGTCTGCTGCAGCGACAAACTCAATACACAACTCTGCTGCACTGGCAGCCGCAGCAGCAGCAGGGGCGGCAGCAGCAGCAGAAGAAAGCCACAAAGAGTGGAGACAGCCACAGCAGAGACAGCCGTTACAGACCCAGCAGCAGCAAAGGCTGCAGCAGCAGACACAGCTGCAGCAGTAGCAGCAGAAGCAGTAATAGCGGCAGTGGTAGCAGCAGCGGCAGTAGCAGCAGCAGCAGCAGTAACAGCAGCAGCAGCAGCAGCGGGCCGCCGCGCTGCGATAAGAAAGGGGAACACGGCGAACTTCTGGCTGCAGCGGCAGCAGCAAGAGCAGCTGCAGCAGGAGATACCCTTGCGGCATCGCCAGCAGCAACAAGCGCAGCAGCAGCAGCAACAGCAGCAGCAGCAGAATGAAGCAAAGGATTGCCGGCATTGCCTTGCCGGCAGCTTTGCTGCTGCTGCTGCTGCTGCTTCCAGACGCTTCATTGGCGAAGACACTGGGGCGACGAATATGGGTGATGCGGCCTGTGGCACCCGTTGCTGTTGCTGCCGTTGCTGCTGTTGCTGCTGCTGCTGCTGTTGGCGCTGCCAAAATCGCCGCTGGTGCTGCTGCTGCTGCTGCTGCTGCTGCTCCCCGCTTTGAAGGGCAGCTGCGCATGTGTCTCATGCCGGCTGTAAGAAAGCTTCTTTTGTGGGGCGCTGCTGCATTACCTTCTTGATGTGATGCTGCTGTTGCTGCTGCTGCTGTTGTTGCTGCTGCTGCTGCTGCAGGTGGCGTCGGGTCCCATAAGCATTGGAGGCGGCAAAGGGCTTCAGTCTGTCTCCGTGGGTGCAACGGTGGGTATTGGTGCTGCTGCTGCTGCTCTTGCTGTTTCAGCTGCTGCTGCTGCTGTTGAAGGCTTCTGCTGCTGCATCGCTCGCTGCTGCTGCTAAGGTGTGTGTACACTTCAGGTGCCGCTGCAGCTCCCTTTCGGTGCCTCAGCATTTGCCCGCCTAAATGCTGAGTTGCCCGTTGACCAGCAGCAGCAGCAGCAGCAGGAGCAGCAATCGCAAGAGCAGCAACGACAGCTGCAGCAGCAGGAACAGCAACAGCAGCAGCAGCAGCAGCAGCAGAAAGGCGGCGCGACAGTGCCAGAGGAGGAGGGGAAGCAGCTGCTACCCTCGTTTGCAAGCCACCAGAAAGATTTGCGGCTGCAGCAGCTGCAACAGCTGCAGCAGCAGCTGCAGCAGCAACTGCAGCAGCAGCTGCAGCAGCTGCAGCAGGGCGTAAGCGGCGTGGAGCTGCTCTTGGGTGTACAGACACCTCTTCCTGTTAGTGACGGGGCTCTGAGGTGTCTCGGCACCTTCAGCAAAGGCAAATCTAAACTTACCTTCGCTGGTAAGTCACTGCTGCTGTTGCTGCTGCTGCTGCTACTGCTGCTGCGCTTGCTGCTGTTCTTGCTGCTGCGGCTCTTACCGTTGCTGCGCTTACGTTTGCGGTTCTTGCTGTCGCTGCTCTTGCTGTTGCGGTTCTTGCTGTTGCTTGTCCTGCTGTTGCTGTTTTTGTCGGTGCTCTTGCTGCAGCAGCTGCTGCAGCTGTTGCTGCTGCTGCTGAAGCTGTCACCACTGCTGCTGCTGCACTTGGTCCTGCTGCTGGTTATGGCGTGCGGCTCCCGGTGCTTTTGCAGCCTTTGTGCTGCTGCTTCTTCGAGCCCGCCAAAGCCCTCACCTGCTACACTTGCTGCTGCTGCTGCTGCTGCTGCTGCTGCTCAGCTTCCCGAGGCAGCAGCGAGTTGGCCGTCAGCACGTGGGGCCTCCGGCTTTTGGGTTTTGCTTCTCGGGCTTGCTGGAGTTTGAAGAGCAGCAAAGCAGCTGTGGAGACAGCTCATGACTTCGAGAAGGGTCCGCTGCTGCTGCTGCTGCTGCTGCTGCTGCTGGTCCTGTTGCTGCTGGTGGTGCTGCTGGGCGTGTTGCTGCTGCTGGCCCGCTGCAGTCACGGCTCGTGTGTCCTGATGGGCTGATGCTTGCATTCGCAGCAGGAGCTCCAGCTGCAGCTGCTGCAGCAGCTGCAGCTGCTGCAGCTGCTGCAGCTGCTGCAGCATGCCACAGCACGAGTTCTTTGTTTAGGTCAAGGAGACTTCTGCTGCAGCACCCAACCCGCTGCTGCTGCTGCTGCGGCTCTGTGTTGCTGCTGCTGCAGGGGAAGCGTCTGTGCGAGTTGCTGCTGCTGGCCTGACAGGAGCAGCAGGAGACACAGCAGTTCCGACGCTGCTGGGTTTTGAAGTTGCTGCTCGGGGTCCGCTGCTGCTGCGTGCGGGCAGCAGAGCCGAGAGTGAGAAAGCAGCAGCAACAGCAGCAGCAGCTGGTGCTGCTGCTGCGCTTGCTGCGGACGCGGGGAGAACGAAGGCGCAGCAGCAAGCGGGCCCGGAAGACAGCAGCAGCAGCAGCAGCAGCAGCGAAAAAGCAGCTGATGTGTCTTTAGGCTTTTCTTTGGGCTTCGGCTCCAAGGGCCAGCTGCTGCTGGAGCCGAAGTTTCATTTAAAGGAAAAGTGAGGAAGTGTGGGGCCCCGGGCTGAGGTGTACGTACACCCCGTTAGGGGGGCCCCTCAGCTGCCAGCAGCTCAGGTGTCTGTACACCCCAGCTCCAGCAGCTGCCTTCTAGCCCTCTGAAGCCCAAGAGGAGCAGAAAAGGATAAAGTTAAATTTAATTAAATGAGAAGAGACAAATAAGTTTAGAAGAAATAGTTTGCGGTGTTCGGGTGTACGTGCACCTGCAGAGGCCACATACACCGCAGCAGCTTTCCAGCTTTTGCTTCTCCATTTTTGTTTTTTTTGGTTCATTTTTCTCCTTTTAAATGCAATTAAGCCCTCTTGTTGATTCTATTTAATTCATTTTGCTTGTATATAATCCATTTGAACAATCTGCATGCGCTTTTCGTCCATTTGTGCATTTCTGCTCAAATGACTTTTTCTGCGTGCAGCTGTACGTACACCTCAGCTGTATAATTGCAACTTCTGCGTTCGTTTATTTTCACCTTTGCATTAAAAATATATAAGTAATTATTTTGCTTCTGCATGCATTTATATTTTCTAAAGCTGCTGCTGCTTGGCCCATATTGACAAATACGCATTTAAATATATTCATATACATCTCTTCTGCATGCTGCAGCAGCAGCTCGAAGCGTCTGGGGTGTACAGGCACCTGTTCCTGGGGTATATAGGCAGCTATCTGCGGTGTATGGGCAGCTCTCTGGGTGTATAGGCAGCTCTCTGGGGTGTACAGGCAGCTATCTGCGGTGTATATGCAGCTTTCTGGGGTGTATGGGCGACTGACTGAGGTGTATAGGCAGCTATCTGAAGTGTATGGGCAGCTCTCTGGGGTGCACAGGCAGGTATCTGGGGTGTATGGGGAGCTGGCTGAGGTGTACAGACAGCTGCTGAGGGCGCGCTTGTGGAATTTGTGTCTTTGGACTTTTGCTGCTCAGGTGTTTGTCTTTGGGACTCTCTTCGAAGCTTCCCAGCGGAGGACTTTTGTCTCTAAATTTGTTTCCGAATCGCAGTTTGAGTTTGCAGTGTACAGACACTGCAGCGGGCGGGAGCTCCTGGGTGTTTGCTGCGGAGCTCCCGCTGCAGCGGCTCGCCCCTGCTGCTGCTGCTGCTGCCAGCAGCAGCAGCAGCACAGGAAGCAGCAAAGGGCCCTCCTTTTCTCTGCGCAGGGAGACCCTCTTCTAGGTGTATAGACATCCCGGACTGCACGGGGCTGCCGCTGCTGCTGCTGCTGCCAGCAGCAGGACCCCACGCAGAACTCATTTGTTTTTACTGTTGCTGCTGCCATCTGCTGCTGCTGTCTGCTGCTGCCGCTGCTGCTGCTCTGTAGTGGGTAGAGCGATGGCCCCAGGAGGAGCTGTAGTCCGCACCCGAGTTTCGAAACCCGAAACCCGAATTTTAACCCCAGGCCGTAAACCCCAATTTTAAC